ACCTGTAAAATCCTTTACCTGGGAGTACATTCCCGGACGCAGGATAATATTCAGAAACGTTGGATTATGCTGTGCCCTTTAGGGGACACAGGCAAATCTGTTAGGACAACCCTGCATAACCCCTACCACTCCGATCAAGACTCAGTTATTTAAGTAAGCAATAATAGGAGTGGATCACAAGAAAAAGAGGCGGGACCTGTGATGTCTTCCAATTTTACAGCTAAGACAAAAATCCTATATTTTATCATACATTACAGTACAAAAGATTGTAGGGGCATGTCCAAGCAATAGAAACGAGGAGTAGACAATCCAATTAAAACGCCAACAAGCTCACATAACAGGTTTACAGAAGGGGTTCGAAAAAGCTCATAGTCCTGCCTGAAGAACCCTATGGCAGCAGATGAGGCATAGACATCTACCAGGTAAAATTTAACAAAAAAGGACATTTCTGAAAAGGCAGTAAAGTGATAACTTCTTAGAATGGTAAATAGGAGGGCATAGGCAGGAGAGTGTCCTGGTTATGGTGGAAGGGAGAAACCACTAAGGAAGGAAAGAGGCTTTTGGTCTCAAACAACTTTACAGGGTTCCTTACAGGTTAAGACCACCAACTCAGGGACTCCCTGTGCTGAGGCAATGGCAACAAGAGTAGACATGGAAATATCCCTGATAGGTTCAAAGGGTGGTTTCTGAAAAGTGGACTGAACTAGGCTAAGATCCCACGGTGACACAGGATGTCCATGCCTGGTGCCCCCTATCTGAGACTCAGGTCCTGAAACCCTCAGAGTTAAGAGGCCACAATCCTGAGTCCAGATGTTGATGACTATGGAAGTCTGTTTGGCAATTTTATGGACTGCAGATAGGGCTGGTTCCGCCCAAGTCAGAATTTGATCTGTCACTTTTTGACCTGCAAGACTTCTGGCTCCCCCTTTGTAGTTGATGTAAGTCACTGCTGTGGTGTTGTCTTATTAAATCCTGGTTGCATACTGCCATAGTCGAGGAATCCAGCATTGAAGGGCTTACCAAATTGTTCTGAGCTCCAGAATGTTAATTGGGAGATAAGTCTCTTCCAGTGGCCAAGTTCTTTGGACTGACAGTGAGTCCAAGACTCCTCCCCAGCCAAATAGGCTGGAATCTGTCTTAATGCCAGCGCGATAGTGGGAAAGACTTTCCAGATTCTAGCACTTAACTTGTGACCCACCAAACCAGAGCAAGGCAGGACTTGGGATGTAGGTAAATGTGCTGATCCAGAGACTGAGCCTTTTTCCCCTCACTCAGACAGAATGTTGAGTTGCAATGGTCTGGAGTGAACTTGGACATAAGGTACTGTCTTGAAGGTTACCATTAAGCGATTAATCATCATATCATACAGAAGCAGATGGATGGTTGGCCTCTGGATTGAGATGTCTGAAGACGGAAGCGGAGTGTATAGAGCTTTTCCTGTGGAAGGAAAATCCTGGAAAGGGAGATGTCCAGAGACTCCAAGCAATTAATCAGTTCCACCACAGATTTCTGTAGGTTCAGGATCCACCCGGACTTCTGCAGGGTTTGCACAGCCTGTTGGACTGATCTGTGCACACCTTTCCCTCAGTAGGAGGTCATCCAGGTAATCCATAATGGGAATCCCGTAAGCAAAGCAGAGCAAGTACAGGGCTAGCACCATGGTGAAAACGTGGGACAGTGGACAGACCAAATGGTCCCAATGGACATGCAAGTATGAAACCTTGATGTCCACAGATGGCAGAAAATCTCCAAGCTGTAGGGAAACAATGGCAGACCTGGTAGATTGCATATGGAATTTCTGAACCCAAAAGGAAGATGTTGAGAACCTTCATGGGCCAAATGCAAACGCTGGGCTTTGAGACCATAAATAGGTTTGAGTAAAACCCCTGAAAATTTTCCTCCAGTGGGACAAGAGTAAACTCCTTGAGAGAGATGATGAACTAGAGCAGCATGGAAGTTTGCTAACCTCTGTGGGGATGTTGGCAGATTAAACAACATACAGTATAACGGGCAGTGGAAGATAGCAAAACTCTAATCGGCAGTCCCTGGTGACCATGTTGAAGACCCAAACATCTGTAATGTCCCGAGTCCAGAAGTCCGCAAACGCAATACGTCTTCCCCCAACTTGAGCAATTGGGGACAGCCTTTCACTGAGATGGACTTGACCACAGGCTTGGAAGAGTTTGGAGTCCAGACCTTGCTGTGGAACAGAGTTGCAGATTTTGTCTTCGACCTGTAGTCCTGTGGGCAAGGAACTTTTGGAACTCTTTTTGAAAACAGAGGCAGGGGATTTCTTAGACTGAGAATTGGTCCTTTTTTTGCGAAGTCAAAAAGGTACTTTTCCCCTAAGATTTACTGCATAAACCTGTCCAGGGTAATACCAAAAAGGCGTTCCCCTTCAAAAGGCATACTGGGGGAATTCATCAAAACTGGAGAAGACAGAATATGGAGCAGTTGTTCATGGCAACCAATCAGCTTCTCTCTTCAGTTTGTTCAGTTAAGATTTGGAAATGAAAGAGAGAAGCTGATTGGTTGGCCTGCACAACTACTCCAGATTTTCTCTGCTCCAGCTTTGATAGATGCCCCTCACTGCATTTTTTGCACAGATTCTCCATGTACACTCTCTTTAACCAAGCTGCTACAGTAAAATTAGACACAGATTATGAAGGAGATTAGAGCTGCAGCTAACGATTATTTTCAAAATCGATTAGTTAGCCGATTATTAAGTTCGATTAATCGGTTAATCGGATAAAAAATACATTATGGTGAGGAAGACCACTTGGGGCCCCTGTGTTTTGAGTCAGCTATCATTGCTCAATTTTTTCCCATAAACTCAGATATCGTAGCAATAATACAGATGAGTGAGCCACTGCAGAAAGTATTAAGGAATACTCAGAGGAGATGAGGATGAGGATGAGAAGATCCAGTTTTCAGTGTCACGTCCATGCAAGGGTATAATGCATTTCACCCCCAACCGCCCAGTTCTGTGGGTGGATTGTAAGCTGGCTAGGCCCACTGTACCACTGTCTATGCACTTATGATTCCCCATTACGGTGCAAGCAAGAGGTATTCCCACAAGGGGTACTTAAAAACCCTGTAAAGCAGGAAAGGTTAACAGTTGAAGTGACCTTGTCCCTGAAGGCAGCAGGGAGAAAGGTATCCTGAGAATCGGTGGGTGGGTGTCATGTACCTGGATGGAGACTGAACTGAACAGAGGGCTACCCTTGCACCACTAGTCCAACTCCCCTAGAGGTGGTAACAGACAGAGGGGGAAGCATGAGTGCCAATTAGATGATCTAGCAGAATTCTGTTCCAAAGCTTGTGTGCAATGACCTGGATAATGTGGCCACAGGAACCAAACAGGATGGCTGGAGGCTGGAACTGACACTGCTGGGACACGAGGTGCCAGGAGCTGCAGAATCTGGATGGCACTGAGCAGATGACGGAGATTGAGGTCACAGGCCGCTGTAATACACAGAAGGATCAGATGTGCAGAAGTCGGTAGTCAAAAATCGGAGTCAAGATCACAAGCCAGGGTCATACACAGGTCACCAAGACCTGGGAAGGAGCTGAAGACCAGTCAGCAACTAGCTGAGTACTCATACTGGTTTTTACAGGCCATCTGTTGCCAATGTGCAGAACATGCCCCCGCCAGTTAGAGCAGGTTTGCCCATAATCCTGAGGATAGGGCTGTGTGGCACAGCGCACACATTTACTCATACTGGCTTTTTGGTAAGTACTTTACAGTGTTTGCAGACTGCAGAACTTACAAGCAGTGTGGATCCAGCTGTGCATGCTCTTACAAAATGGTGCATGCACATGATCCAGGAAACAGAGGCTGCACAGACTCACTGAGGTGCTCAGTCCCTGGGGAAGAAATGGCACCATATTTAAAATGGTGCTGCATTCCACACGCCACTGGCTGTGAAGCAAATGTCACGGCCAACGACACCACAATAACCACTGAAGAGAAGTAATACACTTCCAGGCATAAACCCAAGGGCTTCCCAGTAAAGTGCAAAAGGCCCAAATTGCCACCATTAGTGCAGTCCCCACTGCGCAGAGGATGACCCAGGCACATTCAGAATTCCCTCAGTCTTTACTTTGCCAGTAGGCACACTTCTTCAAGGATCTCAGAGACTTAATGTCTTCAAGAGATCAGCCCATTGAGAAAGCTATAAAAATGAGCCTTAGGGACCCTGCAGCAGTTGAAGAAATTTGGTACAAGAAAAATCTCTTGATAAAAATTAAAACCTTTTGCTTCTCTCAAAGCTCAGAGAAGATGTTCATCTCCTAAGGACACTAGCAAAGAACTGGGGCTTGCTGGGAGTGGGAGGGTCTATGCAGGGCTGTCCTTCCTTTGCTTTGCCAGTGTCCAGTCTCCTGCAGGGGGCAGCATAATTCTACATTCCTGAAATCCATGTTGAGTTGATGAAGAAAATGCAATATTTCTCCTACTGACCAATGTTTCAAGGCATTTTTCCTGCCACTATCCAATGATGCAGAGCACATTTTTCCTGACCACCAGATAATTTTTTTTTATCCACTGATTAGCAATATAAGGAGCACCATGTTACAAAATCCTAACCACTGCACTCTGTACACTGTGTTGTATATTACATAAAACTGACCCCTGCACTCTATACCAGTGGCATTTTTAATACATATTTTACATTCCCATACTTTTATTGTATGAGTATATACTTTTTTCCTTACTGTTGATGAATGGAAGGTTTTGGAAGAAATTACCAGGCCTTGGTCTCACTAAGGTTGAGAGCCACTGCTCTGCGTCTATGCTCAGTACTTGTGAGTTACAGACTGAGAATGAGCATGCAACAAATAGAAGTTAGAATTGCTTATCTCTTTTTTTATTGTTCTGTGTGACTCTGAAAGTGGTAAAGCCATAGTAACACAAACTAGCATTTCCAGAAGCATGGCAGTCCTTCTATTTCTCCTGACAAGTTAACATTAAAGATATTTCACAGACAAAAAAAAATGAAAAACACACAAAAAGTAGATCAGTCTGTAGAATGGACAAACATTTATTGTTTTTGGTCAATGACCTGAATTACTGTTTTTCCCCGTGCATGTCCTGCTTCTACCTTTTCAAAGGCTTGAGGGATATCAGAAAATGGAAACACCTTTTCAACAACAGGCTGCATCTATGGAAAACAAAAAAAAAGCAATGTGATATACACAGTATGATTATACATTCCAAAGAGACTCAGTCACAATGAAATAGCCCTGAAGAGAACAGCGTGCCCAATTCACTGTGTATTTGGCTGCAGTAACTCTACCAAGAATATATCTATAAATTTCTGTCACAGACTAACATTATTTTATCAGGGAAAACACTATCAAATACACAAGAGGAGGTTTTCAGTTCTACAGGAAAGTCATCTGCTGTAAGTACAATACAATATGTACAAGCACTATTTAAACCTATTGTGATGGAAGAATGGAGAGCTGAAAACTACTGCAGACATAAAGAGACTGCTGCCCCTAAACCTTAGTGTTGTGGTCCAGTCCCAGGCCATTCTTACAGGCAATGTTTTAAGTCCGTCTGAATGCATGGTTTGCCTGTCCCTTTCTACCTCCTCACATTCCTAGTCATCCGTGAGGTTGCATCATAGATCTGGGTCAATAAGAAAGTGGGGGACAGGGTTTAGTTGCAAGCTCAGACACTACCCGGAAGTGTCAGAGCTTTGCCTGTCAGAGCTGCCAGCATTTAGCCATGAAAGGATGAAAGGAAGGTTTGGTAAGCTGCTGCAGGTATGTGCAAGCACCTTTTAAGTGTGCACCCCTTCCCTCTAAGCGAGAGTCTAACAAATCCTTGAAAACCAGTCAGAGAGGATGGTGAACTACTTAAAACATCAGTTTTAACTGTATTTTCCCAGCACAGAACATGCTTCCCTATGAGCTGCCATTTCATTATCATAGGGACACATTTTGAAAGAATACAAGTAAAGAAACATGGCTGCCCTCAGTTAGCAGGGCTTCGGGGAAATAGTACCCCTGATATTTCCCTTTTAAAATGTAAAAAGAAATTGAGGACACAAAGTCCTTAATCTCTCTTTCTGCAGCCTTTGTTCTAAATAAATGGAATGTACAGAGGCTTCCCATTCATTCAGAAAATATTTACTATCACCTGCATGCAATCTATCGACTTCATTAATATGCTCACACTTGGAGACTCAGATACATAGAGTTAGGACCACACTTTGCAGAGGTGCCTTGGCGCGGCAGTGTGGCTTCTACATATTTTTGGCCAAAAGTTTGTGCAACTAAAACCTCTGATTTTAATGCATACTGTTGACAGGGCTACTTGTTTGGTTGCAGGCTGGCTGGCAGGCTGAGGCTGGGGAATTTTTGTGTTTTGTATTGTTGTAAGCCTTCCCAATGTGCTCCCTGCTATAAAGGCTGGTTATAGATTCATGCATGTACCACTTTTTTCTATTCTGAATGGGGAGGAGCCTCTGTACTGAGTGCTACTACCCATTCAGAAACTCATTAATGAACAGGAAAAGATGTAAAGCACTTCCTGTTCATTCATAACTGGGGACACATAGTACTATGTGTCCCCAGTTATTTACAAGAGAACCGCACTCATATGCAGGCTGAAAAGGAGGGAGGGGAGGCTGTACGAAGCATCAGACCGAGCTCCGGTGTCGGGTCTGGAAAAAAGTCAGACCGAAGCATGTACAGTTGGCTGGAAAGAAGGGTGAGAATGGTGCGACTCTGATATGTAAGGTGGCAACGCGTTTCGAGGTGCAAGACCTCTTTGTAAAGCCAGGGAACAAGAAGAAGTATGTGTAGAATGGTCAGTTTTGTCTGTGTTTTTACCCTATTGCCAGATAATCCACACTCCTGAGTATCCACTAACTTTAACCTGAGTCTGAAGATTGCATTCAATGTTCCCAGAAGATGCATGTTTATCTGATGATTGTTACATTGTCACCTTCTTCCCTTATGTGAGTGCAACATTATTGCATTTTCATTTCCCCCTTTGTTATCATATGTATTGCGCTAGGTGGTGGTGCTCTCGCTTGTGGAGTGTACAATGTATACACTCCATTCAGGTCCCAAGTAGCAGTGTGGTGCAGTTCCATGCGCTGCCCTGCGGTAACCTGTGGTGGCATATAGTGAGCTGTGATAAATGCAGTATGTTTGCATTTTATTGCAGTGCACTGACCATCACACCCATGTTGTGGTGTGAATAAGACACAATTGTTTTCTATGTGTCTTTGGGATGACTTGTGTGACCAGTGCGGTACAATGCAGGTCACTGCTATAAGTGTGAACAGGCCTGCAGAATACAGTAACAGGTGCATTTGTCCCGCAGCTGACCTCCTTCCGGCCGGAATTTGACCCGCTTTAAGTCTTTTATTTCCCATTCCTATAGACTTTTATCGGAATTAAAAACGCACTTGAAGCAAAGGCTCATTGACACAGGCCCTAAAGAAAATCCAGGTTACAGCAGGCCTTTCTCCCCAAAACATAAAAAGCATAGATGTATGCAGCTCTGCATGCTGAAGAATAAACACTTTACTTGTATGGCAAAACATCTGTTACCTTAAACTTACATTTTAATTTTTCTGAGGCACCAGTGACATAGCCAATGCCTCCTAATTGCCCCCGTGAAGGCTATGGCACAAGTGCATTTGAGGGAACTCTCATAGTTAAACTGTGAGATCTTGCAAAATCTCACAAAATGTATGGAAAAAGTCAATTTATTCTTTTTTTTTTTTGTCTACACAGATATGGCATGAGCATCATTGGTAGGCTGGTCAGAGAACAAGGAAAAAGAAGCTGGGCACCAATGGGGTATACTAGTCAAAATGTCAGCTAGGGATAATAGGAGAAAGAGCAGAAGAGAATTTGCATGTGTCAAAGCAGAAACAAAGAAACTATTCTAAGATGTGTTTACTTGACTGTATTAACTTCTGTAATGGTGGCAGCTTCCTATGAGGAGGAAGGGACAGTCCTCTTGAAATATGGGTTAGCAAAAGGAAAGCACACAGTAGTGCCAATAATACCAGTATCATTTCAAAAAATGACCATACAAGAAATCATTATGTATAATGAATGGAACTATTCCTATATACTGTATATCAGTTGCATGGGAGGACCGGCAAACCCAACCAAAAATACACACACACACACACACAGGAACTTCCTGTTCTTTTTCCTGTTTGTGCATTGATAAATCCCTTGCTGTAATCTTTTTGTAGTTTACTTTGTACTTCTGGAACAAATACACCTCGTGGGTCCCATTTCTACTGTCTGCAACTTTCTAGTTAGCATGTACTTCTGTTACTAGAACAGTGGAGGGAGCTCATATTAAGCTACAGGCTCAAAGTAAATAGGAAACTTACACCATAAGCAGATGCAGGGTGTGCACCACACAAGATAAATGCATTTCTGTACCCACTATGTGTACTTTAGCCTGCATATGTCGGATATATGGATATATCACTTTTTATGACAGTGGACATCATTTACTTGTTTATTTCTAGAAAGAAAGCAGCCCACTTAGTAGGCTTGATCAGTATTATTTTGGTTAATCGTACGTTCATCAGACAGTTCTGACCCATTCACTGAGGAAAACACTGAGACATGAATACCAAACTGATGACCCCCTTATATTTAAAGCTTTACACAAGTGTGTCATTTGTATTGATCAAACCCATTGTGTTCTTAATCCTGAAAAGGCTGACCGTACAGCAGGATAACATAACAGTGATCCGCTGCTAAAATCAACTGACTCAGATGAAACCCTTTCCTGTATTACGGCTGCAAAGGCGGCAAAGAGCTGGGACTGGTTGAAAGCAGGATGATTAGGAGAGATTAAGTGAATAAAGAAAACACAGTCTATTTACAGCAGAACATCAGTCTCCTAGCACGGGGTACTTTTGTTGTGTTCTGGGAAGAGGGATTAGCACACGGGTCTACAGAGAACAGGGATTACATAAGCAAGTATGCATCTGTTTATGCAAAAACACCACCACTGTGAAGAGTACGCTTTCCATGTGCTTGTTGCGTTCACTTTAAAACAGCCATCACCTTGGAAACAGTATATTAGGGTAGCCAAAGAACTTCACAAAAGGTAGCATGGGCAACAAAAATCATTAATGAATCAGTTACTAAATGTAACTACATTTACAGCATAACTCTGAGAGACTCAATCTGTAAATGTGTCACAGATGATTAATGTAACGTATACAAATATAGGGACATAGCTAGATAAAGGTATGCAAACATTAGATGCCAATTACAGAATGCCTGCTATTTCACATAGGTTAAAAAAAACAACACATTTTTTCCTTTTTCGATACAGTAGGGCAGGTTTTGGCAAACTAAGGTCCTCCAGCTGTGATGAAACTAGAAATCCCATGGTACCTTGGTCTCTGGGAGGGTCTTGCAATGTCTCATGGGATTTGTAGCTTCACCACAGCTGGAGGGCTGGAGTTAGCCTACCCCTGCAGTAGGGGATTGTAAAAACCTCAGTGAAGCTTTATTGTTTCCCTGTGGGGAGGGACACAATTCCCCTTCACTTCCTGTTCTGAAGACACGACAGGAAGGTAGACATAATCACTCCAAAGTGAAAGAAAACCCATCTTAGCTGCTATCAGAGCAAGTAAGCCTGTTAGAAAATTACCCCTCAATTCTTGTTCTGGTATCAACTCCCAAATTATAGATTTTCCTATCATTTTCAGTCCTGAGAATGAAGGAATCTCCCATGTAGGGAGACAGATAGCAATAAAGACATAACATGAGTTCTAACCCTCCACCACTTTATCTATATAAAAAAAGTTTTTGCTTTAGACCCACTTTAAGACATCGGTTTAGTAGTATACAGGATATGAGTGATTGCAACAGATAACCATGTGGCATCAGTAATAAATCTTTAATTCTTTTTAGCTCTCAGATTCATTGATGTGGTGCTGAAGTGGTGGATCATGTATTCTTACATCCTAATCGTAACTATATCTCCTGCACGTGTACCTTTACTTTGTTGCTCGTCTCTATCAGATGACAAACTTGTATAGAACTAGAAGCCATGACAAATAAAAATGGGAACTGACCTTTTTCTGTTTTTATGGGTATGAGCATTACAAATAACGAATCAAAACAAATGCAATGCATTGTAATAAATGGACAACTCTCAAATTCTAAAAATAAAAACAGCATGTGATTTTACTCTATGTAAACATTTTGGGAACTAACAAAACTCAGTAAGGCGTTGCTCCCAAGAGGATAACATATATGAGAAGAATACCCACTACCAACAGAACAGCCACCTACCTTACCAGCCTCCACAATTGCACCAAATTCATCTAGGGCTGGCCCGCTGGGGGCAAAGAATCCCCAACGGTAGTGGATCCCTTTGTAGAGGTGCTGAAACCAGGAACAATAAACATTCATTACTGTTCTGAGATTAAACCCAACTACATACTGAGTAATTAACAAGCAAAAGATGCAAAATATTTGATAGATTAAAAACCTCAAATATATAGCCGTGACTGTTTTATCACTACACATATCCTACATTTTGCTGCAGCCATGGAAATGAACCCCCACATTCTGTGTAAAATCAAAATTGACAATACACAATATTACCTTTATCACGTTTGATCCCAGAGTAATGCCTGTGCGCATCATTCCATCTGCTATACCAAGCCGGTCATTGTTATACAGAAAAGGAGTAACCAGAGTGCAGTATGAAGCTCCCGACCATGTCTTAAGGTACGGAATAGTCAATTTTTCACTTGTTCCACCTACATTGTCAAGCACAGCATCAAACCTGAAAATGTTATGAAAAATGTCAACTTTTACACCTACAAAACATTACTTAAAACTTATGGACCTCTTGTATTAATTTTATACTGAAGAAAATATCAGTGCTGTCCATAGAAGTAAGGTTTCAGGTGCCATTTGTTTTCTTCTACTGCAGGCTTATGGGTTACATAATATAAAGAAAAATATGACTAGTTGCTATGAGAAACAACTGGCTTTCTCCGCCACAAAGCAGTCACAGCAATAGACACTTGAAAGTATAAGTTATATGAAAGCAAAACATAAAAAAAGGCTTAAGTATAAAGTCCTGCCTACAAAGTGCAGCAATGCACAGTAACCAAACAACCCATTTAAGCCATAATTACCAGTACATGACGGGGTGTGCTTATTTGCTATGAGTACTCATTAAACTTAGTGAAGGGCAGGCTGCTAATATGCAGGGGTACAATGCAAGGTTGTGAGTAAAGCAAAACAGGATTCCCCAGCATGACCTTAAAACAAACATCTAAGATTGACAAAGCAATGCATGGCTACCAGTTAGCATTGAAGTGAAGCAGGTAACATCGACATTGCATTTAAAGCATACCAATGTTTAGGCCTTTTTAGATACCCTAAGATTTTTGAGGACCTCTAAGATGTGCTACAAACATTTATTTACAAAGGATACACTTAATGTATAGGGCCCTTTAAGAAAGCAAAAATGTATAGGTAGGTTACGGGGTTAGAGGAATAGGACTTTGTATTGACTTAGGGAACGCTTTACTTCATTTATTCCAAATATACAAAACACTTCAATGGCATCTCAAATGTGAAAGGATAAATGGTCTCGTTTATCAAACATGTCTGCATAGGACACACTGAATCTAGTTAGTTGCCCTGTGGCAACTAACTAGATTCAATCGTGTACTGAAAAAACTTTCTGAATCTGACTAGCTGTTGCAGTGTGATATACAGTAAACAGCTACTGTTTGAGACACACGTATAAAAGTGCTCTAAAACATAAGGTCAAGAAGAATGAATAGACATTATACAATTATCTGTACAACGGGATGGGGCTGGTTTTGTGGGTTACTTTTATTATGATCTCTGTGCTGAAAAAAAAATAAACAAGAGTCAAATGTATTCCAATAATTCAATGGGAAAAGCCACACAAGCTACCAATTTACATGTTGTACCTGTCTTAAACCACTGCATTAATACATCATATTAATACATCATAAAGTATGCAAAATCAATAGTTTTGCTTACCATGGCATATACTGTACCAGTGAACAAAAATAACTCACACACAAGAAGATGCTAGTTGTCAGCAGCAAAACAATGGGGCTTCGAGTTTGAATATTATATAGCTGAACTGTTGTACCTGTTTAGTGCTGGAGTTACATATTACATGGATAAAATGAAAATCAACTAACAACATTCAAATAAGCAGAGGTGGTGTGGTGTCAGTCACCTCCATCCCCTACTCCTAACCCACGAGTCACCTTGCTCTGCACCTCCTTCTGTCTGGATATCAGAGATTTCCCATAAATTTCAATGGGGCCAATTATAAGCAGAGAGGGATTGGTAGGATGAAACCATTTGATGACCACTAGCATTAGATCCAAGTCCTGCAATGGTGGAGGTTAATGCCAGAATTTTTCACTGCTTTACCCACCCAGGAAAGCACGTGTGCACATGAATCAGCCATCTGCATACATGACTATGGGACTATACACACAACATGCACTGAATACTTGGTGTGACCACACTAAAATACCGGAAAACATGATTTAAAGGAGAACTATGGGGTCAGTGTTTTTCCCCTTAGTTCTCCTTAGGGTAACGGGAGGACACAAACTAGCGTCCTCCCGTTACCCTAAGCTCAGTATACTGCGAGCTACAGCTCGCGGTATACTGAGACGCCGCAGCCGGAGCGGATCCCGACGTAGATGATGGGATCCGCCCAGCTGCGTGAGTGACAGCTGGCTCTGCCTATCTAGGAGGCAGAGCCAGCTGTACCCGCCCCCTACCCCGTCCGTTCCGCCAGTCAGCGCTGGCAGATCGGAGCGGGGGAGAGGGGAATCCAGCTCACCTCTCGATCCTGTCACGGCTCTCTGCCGTGACAGGATCGAGAGATGAGCGAACCTGGTATGTGTTCGCTCACCTCCCGATCTACCGAGCCGACCTGTGACAGTCTCATTGTCACAGGTCGGCTAGAACTATGAGGTGAGTGGAAATCACTCATCTCATAGTTCTCCTTTAAGCCAAGCTCAATGATTGCTAGCTGGTTGATTCTGCCGTTTAAAGTATAGCCTGATGGCTGAGATCACTCTAGTCACATAGGCAAACACTAGTACTGAATATTAAAGTGACACTAAACTCAAGCGCTATATCTTAAAAATGCATTAAAGTACCTCAACTATTGATAAAAATGTATCTTATTTGTGTATCACGCAGCTGTAGATCCTCAAATCATCTCTGAATTCATGCCGACACTGTCCTTCCTTCTGGAGGGTGACTACTTTTGTTCCCCAAGATCCCTGCGTGTTGTAAAGTAGCCACCGCTCCAAACTCACTCCCACGATGGACTACAATCTCAATACAAATTACTAAACTAAACATGGTATTGTAGTCCATCACAGGAGTGAGCTTGGAGCAGTGACTACTTTACAACACACACAGGGACCATGGGGAACAAAAGTAGCCACTCTCCAGAAGGAAGGACAGTGTTAGCATGAATTCAGATATTATTTGAGGCACTACAGCTGACAGATACACAAATAACAGCAAAACGTTTCCCAGCAGACTCACCAGCCAACATGCAAAAAAAAAAACCTATCTAACCACTAAGGTTAAAAGCAGAGGTTTTAGATAAACGTCTTCTGCAGAATATGTGGAAGCCGCACTGCCTCGTCAAGGCACCTCTGTGTAGTGCGGTCCTAACTCTAACCTATGAGAGTCTCCATCTTGGAGCACATGTGGCAAAAGATAAAATTGGGTGCAGGTACGCCAGGAGGCAGCCCAACCTCCTTAAAAAGGTACAGGGACGCACAGGGGAACCCCGCACATCACAACGGCAGCTGAGACCCCCTGTGTGCCACTGCACCAAATCAGTCAAGGAAAACACACTCATCAACTCATAACCAACTTTAAAGCAAGGTGCACATGGAAGGGCTTTATACAATACAACAGCAAAAAAATTCCCAGCACACCAGCCAGCATGCAAAAAAACCCCCAAAAACCTGCATCCAATTTCACATATTCTACAGAAGACGTGTATCTAAAACCTGTTTTTAACCTTAGTGGTTAGACAGGTTTTTGTTTGCATGCTGGCTGGTGAGTGTGCTGGGAAACTTTTTGCTGTTGTATTGTATAAAGCCCTTCCATGTGCACCTTGCTTTAAAGCTGGTTATGAGTTGATGAGTGTGTTTTCCATTTGTTTTGCTTGACTGATACACAAATAAGATACATTTTTGTTAATAGTTAAGGTACTTGAGTGCATTTTTAAGATTTAATCATGAGTTTAGTGTCACTTTAAAAGAGGCAGATTGACATAACAAGAAAAAAGAAAAGGCTAGTTGCACTACTTACCAGTATGACCCCGTGGTCGGGGAGGGGTGCTTGGAATGACTGCGGATGGCACCACCAAATACAGATAATTGCAGAAACGTCACCAGCACACCAAATCCTTTTAGGATCAAAATTGGTAGATTTATTGCAAACTCATGTCAGTTACACAAGCGCTTTCGGGGCCACACAGGGTCCCTTCATCGGGCATAGCAATGAGGCCCTGTGTAACTAACATGAGTTTGCAATAAATCTATGAATTTTTATCCTATAAGGATTTGGTGTGCAGATTGACATAACAGGCACATACAGTAAAGGTAAGTGTGTATTACATAGTTATTTACAGTAGTTAATAAGGTTGAAAAAAAGAGAATGGTCAATAAAAATCAATCTTTGTGTGAGTTTTATGTGTTTGATAAAATCCTATAAGCATAGGCCAGTTTGTTTTCTCTTTCCTACTCTAGTAAGTATATTTAATTTTGTTAACCTTTAGAAGAACACTACCACACACATTCTAACAATACTGACCAGAAGAAGTCAAACCCTCCCCCCACCCCCCCTCCCATTCTTCATTTCCACACACAGACTGTATAAAAAGGGTATCAGTTCATTATTTTCCAATCTTTGTGGATAGGCCTGTAATTGGGTACCATATTTAGATTTTATTGACCACAGGCAGTTAAGGTCTTCTTAAAATCCAATGATTGTTTTGCACAGTCATGTACCAAGGGATAAGATGCTGGCTTGTGCAACTTATGGCACAAATAATCTTATGGTACCATATTTCATGGTGATAATGCCCTGTGATGGGGGAGCTTTAAATGTGGCGCTTTTAGGCCTTGTTCACACCAAGCGCGGAGCAGATCCGGACCAGAGCAGGTGCAGGCCGGATCAAAACTGCGTCCAATGTATTCCAATGGTATTTTGACCTCCAGTTCACATCGCAGCGTGCGGATCCAGATCCAGACCGGATGAAAAAACTGCGGCAAGCCCTATTTTACCTGCTCTGGATCTGGTCTGGAACGCATCAAAAACGCAAAAACGCATGCAAGTGCCTGAAAGCCCATGTTAAAACTTAAAAAAAAAAAAAGAATGTTTTTTTTTAACCAAAACCGGCCCTAAACGCATCAAAAACGCGTCTAAAACGCGGCACAACCCACTGCACTGCGTGTGCAGAAACCTGACCGGATCTGGTCTGCATTTGGTGTAAACAAGGCCTTAAGGACCTAGTACACTCACCAAGGTGTGTTTTATGGTTTCCGGTTTACTCTTATTCACAATTAAGAATGAAACATAGGGTTTTTTTTCCAATTACATCACACAGCAACAAACATTTATCCGCCTCCTGGTGATTAGTGAAGTGATGAGTCTGGACTTGGTGCGAACCCAGTTTGCCCGCATTCTCCCAAGCCCACTCAGAACTGTAACTGCCACCCCCTGCTCCCAGCCCATCAGTTGCGGAGAGGTGCATTCCCTACCTTGCAGCTATACATCACAAAAGGAATTGCCCCCAACTGCGGCCACTGTTTGGGCCGGGAGGAGGGAGTGGCACTCTTATATTTGACAGGACATGGGCAAACTCAGGCGGACTGGGATCACACCAAGTCCAAGCTCATTTCTACTGGTGATTCATTAAATTTCCAGCAGTACAAGTGTCTCTAATCATACTCTTAACTTGGTCCTTAACCTGGTCTGGTCTCTCTAGCAGGCTTTTCTTGCAACAATGGTTCTCCCAATGTGTTTTACCTCCTTTATACTATCACAGTCACAGCCCCGATAAACACTGTTTAACCACCTCCCGTCCATTGGCCGTACTTAAACGGCCGGACAGGAGCCTTGTAGATGTAGGTGGGCGTCTTAAGACGTCCCTCCCCGCCCCCAGTGGGTAAACCGTCAAAGCGGTAAACAGCCAGCGATGGCTGTTTACATACAAGCGTTCCGGCGTCGGTAGAGACACTCAATCGCTTTTATTTAGAGCGGGTGTGCGCCCCCCCCGTCTCCATCCAGGCATATAAACGGTTTAAATGCTAATTTGGGAGCTGTCTCACCTGTCCATCTCCTCATGAAAGTTACACAGCTCTACCACACAACACATTCAGCCTGGTTACCTCTTTTTTTCTCTGCTGCAGTTATGCAACACAGCTAGGTCACCCCCTGATGATGTCACCTCTGCTGTTTTCTCCTGTCAATATGTCCTTTGTCAGCACATGTAAATACAGGACACCAGATTGGCCCCAAATACAGTCCTCCATTTCCCTGTCTTCTGAACAGAGGATTAAGAGAGCCTGAAATGAAGACTACACTTCAAACACCCTCAACCATACCACTCTAAATACCCAAGATGTAACAGTAATACTCCTATCATATACCATATGTTTTAGTCATGCTCTAAAATGCACATCTTTTTGTTACAAGTTCATGCTTTATTAATTGGGAAACTGGACTTTTGTGCTTCTAAGACATTAGAGCTATACCTGCTTGGTTTCTTTAACACTTTTGCTCAACACACATGTCAGGACAATGTTCTGACTGATCCTGTTCTATGCTCACAAAGTGCATTTGATTCATTGACGAGATACTTGCCCTACTAACAATGCAACATTCATTCAGCTAGTGAATAAGGCCTACTAGAGTAAAAGCTGGTATATGCAGAAACAGCTTGCTTGGTCAAATGCTCTAAAGCTTGGCAACCATGGCAAAATATATAAGAAACAGTCTACATTGGAGAAAACTAATTTCCAAAATGTTTAGCCTTGAAAAGTGGTATGATGCATGGGTATGTATAGTGAGTGAATGTGGTAGGTGAACCAGTTCTTTACTTATTTATGTGTTTCTTGTACTGTAACTGAGGTAGATAGCACAATAATTACACAATAAACAACTTAAAAAACATTATGTTGAAAATAAAAAACTCACAAGTCTCTTGTCTTCAGCTGGTCTTTTAGACTTGCCGCAGTGTAATCAATAATATCATCAGCTCCCAGGTCCTTCATCAGTGTTTGAGCTCCTCCAGAGCAAACAGCAGTGACATGTGCCCCCCATGCTTTTAACAACTGAAATATAAAAAAACAAGCACATGGCTGAACAAAAGAATAAAGAAGAAATATACAGTATGTATGTGCACCAAGCAGCTTCTAGTGTTCCAAGCAACCATGTCATAATCCTAGGGTGAGTGGGAATGAGCAGGGCTTGAAAAATTTTATCGTGTCTCACCAGTCAGTCAAAAATTTCAGCATGACTGGACTATAGCCTCGAAGAAAAAAAATAAAATATTTTCCCTACGTTATGTTATAAAACATTTATTCTTACCCATATTTTTAGGAAAAAAATATAAAAGTCAGGGTCACGTCGGGTAAATCGACACCAAACATGTCAAGCCTTAAAAATTGCACGCGCCCGCAAAAATCACAAAAAAACGACCACACCAAAAATTGCCCATAGGCGACAATTTAAACGCTTTTATTGCTCATCAGTTTAGTGTTATCAGGGATTACAATGGCCCGAGAATTATTACCCTCACTCCGACGTTCACCCCGAAATGTAACATGTGCGGCGCAATCGCTGTTTTCGCATGTAGGCGCACCCGACGCATGTTTGCATGTGTATGTGGGGAGGCGGGGGACTTTAAAAAAAATGTAGTGTTTTTTTTTATGGTTCTTTTCATTTTTTTTATTACTCTTCCCCCCCCTTAACTTTATTGCTATCACATAGGGGACTAAAAATCCCCCTATGTGATAGCCAATTTACATGACAGGTCCTTTTTATGGAGACATAATGACTAATGTCACCTAGGGACCCCCAGGGAAGAGAGAAGCTGATGAAGCAGATATCTGCTTCACCAGCTTCTCCCAAGCTTCTGAAGCTGGAGAGTGATAGCTGAATGCGGAAGTAATGTAATATACATCACTTCCTGTATTCGAGGACGGAAAGGATGTCAGAGGGAGATTGTGTACAGATCTCCCTTTGATCTCCAGTCACAGAGAAGCCGTGTTGGTCCAGGCCGCACCAGGCACAGCGGATCTCGGGACCGGCAATGACATCGGCTAATACAAGCGATGGGGCGTCTCTAGAGACGCCCAATTGCTTGAACGTAAAGCTACCGGCCTGGAAGTTAATCGCCGGATCCGCCGTCCTCTCATCACAGACAAGAGGACAAGCAGATTTTTCAAGTCCTGGGAATGAGGCACTGGACCACAAACTTTCTCTGGTCAAATAAGAGAAACATTTTAAAGAGTACCTGTCACTTCCAAATGCTATCACATAGGGGTTTGTTATCCCCTGTGTGATAGCAATAAAGTTAAGTGAAAAAAAATAGTTAAAAAGATAATAAAATTAAAAAGTAAAAAATAATAACTAATTAAAACTGTAACTACATGTAAAAAAATAAAAAGGCGATAAAGTAAAAATAATAAAATAAATGGAAATAAAAAATGTTTACAAAGTAAATAAAAATTGAAAAAAATGAAAACCAGCCCCGCTGCCCCCATCATCTGCATGCTAATAAACGCGCAGTTTTTTCAACCGCGATTGTGTGCAACCACTCGGGCAGGGCGGTATTGCGGCAGGAAATCACGCAATCTGCCTGGCACGATTGGGGTGCCATTAGAAAATAATGGCACTGGCAGCGCGATCAGCGGTGGTGTGCAATCCATGTAAGCGGATGGCTGGGCGGTCACGCCACCGCCGATCGTGTTGGCAGTGCCATTATTTTCCAATGACAGTCCATTCGCGCCAATCAGATCGCACAGCCTGGGCGGTCCCAGACGATCTTGGTTGAAAACATGGATAGGTTAAATGTTTTATTGCTCTAAAACATTCTTAAATTAAAAGTTCTTCATAATCATAAAGAAATTGGCCTAAAATCATTAGTCTATTGTTTTTTTTTTAAATGTCACCTGTCCCTTTAAGAAAAAGTATCGGTAATTGGTATTGGCAAGTACATGAGGGGAAGTACTTGTACTTGGTCTTGAAAAAGTGGTATCGGGACATCCCTAGTGTCAAGTACAATGCACACGATACAAATATAAATCTGTCATACCAACATTTATACTTCATCCCATTAGGTAAATGGAATTGGAGCACCGATACAATTCTCTGCATATGAAAATCTGAAATTCTTTGGATTATATACTGCACACATAATAAGCATGTTTATGAAGTGCAATGTGTACAGATTAGTATCCTTTCCTTTTAATAAATTGTTTATAACCCACAAATTGCCAGCATTTACAGACATCAGACCACTGTGAGGGGAAGGGAGAAAACTCCAAGTCACTGTATCGCATATACTACAATTACATCAATATGGATTCTTGTCTCAGTGCCCAATAGTATGTATCGGTATTAAAAAAAAATCGATTGAACTAAGGGAAAAGCCACTTTTTCTTTAATATATACTTTATATACATGTATACTATATTCTTACGTTAGTAAGATGTTAAAAAACCTTTCATTAAAAAAACAGGTTTACAGCATAATGAAAAAATATCTTCCTGCTGTAAATACCACAAACAGAAAAAATACACCCAGAATATTACAAAATAATATGACTAGACTGTTATGTGAATGGGGCCACAATATGGTATGGATTGAGTATGCTGAACAGGAAAGAACCTCTGAAGGCAAAAAGAAAATTTGTAACTGAAGTAAGTTTACCTGAGTGGCCGCTGTGCCAACCCCTCCAGATGCTCCAATGATTAAAACACTGAAATAAAAAAGAAAACAAGGTTAATTCTGTCATTCAGCTAAAGTGTAATCCTTTCAGCACCGAAAAGTCAGTAATATACAACTATATATTGTGTACAATAAGCTTATTTTAATAAAACTGTACAACAAGAAAAGCATCCACTTACAGAAGATTTGCTAAAGAGGAACTCCGGCCAAAAGTGTCCTTAACCCTTGCAGTAGGGCCACCAACTGTTGTTTGTCTGAAGAAGGGACTGCCTGGTCCCAAAACGTCACTTTGTGTATGTCACATCATGTTCAGTCAATAAAAGAGATTGACTGCTATCAACAAACGGAGTGTGAGTGACTTTATGGTATTTTGCTTTCAAAGAAGAGGGTAACGCAAACGAAAACACGTGAGAACCGCTCGATAGCTCAGTCGCCTAGGTGTGAACCTAGCCTAAACCTTTGGCTGATTTAAAATCGGAATCTACTGAAGTTATTAAATACATATTGGTCACATGAAATCTCACCGAAGACTATATTATCAGTGTTTTACAGAACTAAACTTTCATCTAGTATGTATCACAGCACGTAATTTGTCCACATAAAAAGCAGTCATAAAATTGTAATGATATTGGAAGAAAATCTCGTGTCATCCAGCTACATGCATCTAGACAAAAGAAAACCGACGTTGAACAGTTTGACAAAAACAAGCAAGAGAAAACTGATGTATTGAAGGATTTTATGTCAGGAAAAGATGTCTGGCGCTCACCGTTTTCCTGGACAGGTTTCCTTTTTCAAACCGCAGCTGTTAACAAGGGCAGCCCATGCTGTGAGGGCAGCATAAGGTAAGGAAGCAGCTTCTGTATGACTAAGTGACTTTGGCTTAAAGGATACCTAAACATAAATGAAAACAACAAAATGATGCTAAATTCCTCCATGCTAGAATAAAAGGTCACAAAGCTAGAACATTCATTAAATTAGAAGTATCTGAAATGATTAAACAAACTTAATCATAGAGTAGTTGTTTCCATAAGTGCTAGTTCACAGCAGCCCCAGTACATTCCGGCCTGATTCAGTGCCGGAACCCAACGGATCGCATCTTGGCCGGCTCACTGCGTTCTAGGGCGGGAGGGGGCATGGCGGTGCATTGATGTCAATAGTACCGCAGCTATGCCCCAGCCGCAGTGCGATCGCTTGTGCTGGAACGCGTGGCACATGAATGTCTGCGTTCTGGTCCGGTGCAGTCAGAAAAAAATAGTGCATGCAGCATTTTTTATGACCGGAACGGCTGCATTGATGTGCCACGCATTCCGGTGCGGACGATCGCACTGCAGCCAGGGAGCGTGGCTGCGGTGCCATTGACTTCAATGCACCGCCAGGCCCCCTCCCGCCCCAGAACACAGTGAGCTGGCCAGGATGCGATCCAGTGCGTTCCAGCACCGAATCGTCCCAGAACGCACTTGGGCTGGTGTGAACTAGCCCTAATTGTGATGTAGGTATATTGCTGGGTTTGCTTGGCTAGCTAGGGTACACAGGGTAATTATCCTGAAGCTCTTTCATCTGTGGCACCTGAAGCATAAAAATAAAAGATCTCTTCCCATGATCTCTCACTACTCTGCGACTAAGCCTGTTTGGGTTTAATGCGTTAGGGTGAGTGACCAGCAAGCGGGAATAATACGTTTGGAATGGACTGGATTTTACAAATAAAGAAGCACTGGGTGAAGATTGGCAGTGTGAGGCTTTTTCTTTGGATTGCATTTGCTCTGGAGTATGGATGGCTTTCCGGCCAACACCAAGCAGTGGAACTCTAAAAAAAAATAAGGAAAAACAAAGCAAAGGTGGAGTTGTTCCCGAAATAGAATTCATTTTTAACTTTGAGTGACAATAAAAGATGAGACCTAGTTGATGACCATAACGTTTAAGCATTTCACAATTAGTTTTATTTCATATATTTACCTCGTTAGCACTTGCAACAACGAATTCTGCAAAAGTACCCTGCCTCCATGGTGGGACTGCTGCCCAAACCTGTTAAAACAATTCAATAAAGGATTACTTGACTATGCATTCCTAATAATACTGTACAAATATGCATACTTTACATAGTTCTTACCATTCTAATTAGCCTTGTATAATAATGGAAGCAAATGGGATGAATTTTCTTGTATATGATTCAACTGGGTGAGGGGGGCAGCAGTAGTGGATCCTTCATATGAATATATTAAAGTGGACCTTTACCCCCTTTCACTAAAAATCACATCAACATGCAGCTCTGCATGCTGATATGAAATCATCTTACGTTCATTAGTTAATCATATTTTGCTTTTACTTACAATTATTGTTTTTATACTTCTTGGTCTTCTTGCGCATTAGTGATGTAATGTGCCCAAGTGTTCTGGGAAGGTTACATCAGTAGTACATTGCTGGGAAATCTCATCCGTAATCTCATCCGGTCTCAGGGAAAGGCGTTTTCCTCCCCTGAGGTGATGTGCATGGTCACATGTCCTAGTCACATGTGCTAGAGTTCCAGGAAGCAAAGTGAGGTATATTGATCTGCCCTTGTTAAAAATGGCCACCGTGAGAAGAATGGGGAGGAACAGAAAAATAAGGTATGCGAAGAAGAAAAAGCCTGCAATTATCTGGAAGTATCTATTTGTAGATTATCATCACTAAACATTTCTAAAGTCGTCTTTGTTGTCATTTCAAAAGGTATGAGTTAAGCTCCTCTTTAAGGGTAAAGCGGGGCCAAGTGAAACAGCCACCTAGTATAAAGCCAAGCAGAGCATAGGCTCTGCTTGGCTTTATACTAGGTGGCTGTTTCACTTGGCCCCGCTTTACCCTTAAAGAGGAGCTTAACTCATACCTTTTGAAATGACAACAAAGACGACTTTAGAAATGTTTAGTGATGATAATCTACAAATAGATACTTCCAGATAATTGCAGGCTTTTTCTTCTTCGCATACCTTATTTTTCTGTTCCTCCCCATTCTTCTCACGGTGGCCATTTTTAACAAGGGCAGATCAATATACCTCACTTTGCTTCCTGGAACTCTAGCACATGTGACTAGGACATGTGACCATGCACATCACCTCAGGGGAGGAAAACGCCTTTCCCTGAGACCGGATGAGATTACGGATGAGATTTCCCAGCAATGTACTACTGATGTAACCTTCCCAGAACACTTGGGCACATTACATCACTAATGCGCAAGAAGACCAAGAAGTATAAAAACAATAATTGTAAGTAAAAGCAAAATATGATTAACTAATGAACGTAAGATGATTTCATATCAGCATGCAGAGCTGCATGTTGATGTGATTTTTAGTGAAAGGGGGTAAAGGTCCACTTTAATATATTCATATGAAGGATCCACTACTGCTGCCCCCCTCACCCAGTTGAATCATATACAAGAAAATTCATCCCATTTGCTTCCATTATTATACAAGGCTAATTAGAATGGTAAGAACTATGTAAAGTATGCATATTTGTACAGTATTATTAGGAATGCATAGTCAAGTAATCCTTTATTGAATTGTTTTAACAGGTTTGGGCAGCAGTCCCACCATGGAGGCAGGGTACTTTTGCAGAATTCGTTGTTGCAAGTGCTAACGAGGTAAATATATGAAATAAAACTAATTGTGAAATGCTTAAACGTTATGGTCATCAACTAGGTCTCATCTTTTATTGTCACTCAAAGTTAAAAATGAATTCTATTTCGGGAACAACTCCACCTTTGCTTTGTTTTTCCTTATTTTTTTTTAGAGTTCCACTGCTTGGTGTTGGCCGGAAAGCCATCCATACTCCAGAGCAAATGCAATCCAAAGAAAAAGCCTCACACTGCCAATCTTCACCCAGTGCTTCTTTATTTGTAAAATCCAGTCCATTCCAAACGTATTATTCCCGCTTGCTGGTCACTCACCCTAACGCATTAAACCCAAACAGGCTTAGTCGCAGAGTAGTGAGAGATCATGGGAAGAGATCTTTTATTTTTATGCTTCAGGTGCCACAGATGAAAGAGCTTCAGGATAATTACCCTGTGTACCCTAGCTAGCCAAGCAAACCCAGCAATATACCTACATCACAATTAGGGCTAGTTCACACCAGCCCAAGTGCGTTCTGGGACGATTCGGTGCTGGAACGCACTGGATCGCATCCTGGCCAGCTCACTGTGTTCTGGGGCGGGAGGGGGCCTGGCGGTGCATTGAAGTCAATGGCACCGCAGCCACGCTCCCTGGCTGCAGTGCGATCGTCCGCACCGGAATGCGTGGCACATCAATGCAGCCGTTCCGGTCATAAAAAATGCTGCATGCACTATTTTTTTCTGACTGCACCGGACCAGAACGCAGACATTCATGTGCCACGCGTTCCAGCACAAGCGATCGCACTGCGGCTGGGGCATAGCTGCGGTACTATTGACATCAATGCACCGCCATGCCCCCTCCCGCCCTAGAACGCAGTGAGCCGGCCAAGATGCGATCCGTTGGGTTCCGGCACTGAATCAGGCCGGAATGTACTGGGGCTGCTGTGAACTAGCACTTATGGAAACAACTACTCTATGATTAAGTTTGTTTAATCATTTCAGATACTTCTAATTTAATGAATGTTCTAGCTTTGTGACCTTTTATTCTAGCATGGAGGAATTTAGCATCATTTTGTTGTTTTCATTTATGTTTAGGTATCCTTTAAGCCAAAGTCACTTAGTCATACAGAAGCTGCTTCCTTACCTTATGCTGCCCTCACAGCATGGGCTGCCCTTGTTAACAGCTGCGGTTTGAAAAAGGAAACCTGTCCAGGAAAACGGTGAGCGCCAGACATCTTTTCCTGACATAAAATCCTTCAATACATCAGTTTTCTCTTGCTTGTTTTTGTCAAACTGTTCAACGTCGGTTTTCTTTTGTCTAGATGCATGTAGCTGGATGACACGAGATTTTCTTCCAATATCATTACAATTTTATGACTGCTTTTTATGTGGACAAATTACGTGCTGTGATACATACTAGATGAAAGTTTAGTTCTGTAAAACACTGATAATATAGTCTTCGGTGAGATTTCATGTGACCAATATGTATTTAATAACTTCAGTAGATTCCGATTTTAAATCAGCCAAAGGTTTAGGCTAGGTTCACACCTAGGCGACTGAGCTATCGAGCGGTTCTCACGTGTTTTCGTTTGCGTTACCCTCTTCTTTGAAAGCAAAATACCATAAAGTCACTCACACTCCGTTTGTTGATAGCAGTCAATCTCTTTTATTGACTGAACATGATGTGACATACACAAAGTGACGTTTTGGGACCAGGCAGTCCCTTCTTCAGACAAACAACAGTTGGTGGCCCTACTGCAAGGGTTAAGGACACTTTTGGCCGGAGTTCCTCTTTAGCAAATCTTCTGTAAGTGGATGCTTTTCTTGTTGTACAGTTTTATTAAAATAAGCTTATTGTACACAATATATAGTTGTATATTACTGACTTTTCGGTGCTGAAAGGATTACACTTTAGCTGAATGACAGAATTAACCTTGTTTTCTTTTTTATTTCAGTGTTTTAATCATTGGAGCATCTGGAGGGGTTGGCACAGCGGCCACTCAGGTAAACTTACTTCAGTTACAAATTTTCTTTTTGCCTTCAGAGGTTCTTTCCTGTTCAGCATACTCAATCCATACCATATTGTGGCCCCATTCACATAACAGTCTAGTCATATTATTTTGTAATATTCTGGGTGTATTTTTTCTGTTTGTGGTATTTACAGCAGGAAGATATTTTTTCATTATGCTGTAAACCTGTTTTTTTAATGAAAGGTTTTTTAACATCTTACTAACGTAAGAATATAGTATACATGTATATAAAGTATATATTAAAGAAAAAGTGGCTTTTCCCTTAGTTCAATCGATTTTTTTTTAATACCGATACATACTATTGGGCACTGAGACAAGAATCCATATTGATGTAATTGTAGTATATGCGATACAGTGACTTGGAGTTTTCTCCCTTCCCCTCACAGTGGTCTGATGTCTGTAAATGCTGGCAATTTGTGGGTTATAAACAATTTATTAAAAGGAAAGGATACTAATCTGTACACATTGCACTTCATAAACATGCTTATTATGTGTGCAGTATATAATCCAAAGAATTTCAGATTTTCATATGCAGAGAATTGTATCGGTGCTCCAATTCCATTTACCTAATGGGATGAAGTATAAATGTTGGTATGACAGATTTATATTTGTATCGTGTGCATTGTACTTGACACTAGGGATGTCCCGATACCACTTTTTCAAGACCAAGTACAAGTACTTCCCCTCATGTACTTGCCAATACCAATTACCGATACTTTTTCTTAAAGGGACAGGTGACATTTAAAAAAAAAACAATAGACTAATGATTTTAGGCCAATTTCTTTATGATTATGAAGAACTTTTAATTTAAGAATGTTTTAGAGCAATAAAACATTTAACCTATCCATGTTTTCAACCAAGATCGTCTGGGACCGCCCAGGCTGTGCGATCTGATTGGCGCGAATGGACTGTCATTGGAAAATAATGGCACTGCCAACACGATCGGCGGTGGCGTGACCGCCCAGCCATCCGCTTACATGGATTGCACACCACCGCTGATCGCGCTGCCAGTGCCATTATTTTCTAATGGCACCCCAATCGTGCCAGGCAGATTGCGTGATTTAGAAACAGCCACCTAGTATAAAGCCAAGCAGAGCATAGGCTCTGCTTGGCTTTATACTAGGTGGCTGTTTCACTTGGCCCCGCTTTACCTTTAAAGAGGAACTTTACTCATATCTTTGCGATGACAACAAAAACACCTTTAGAAATGGCCACAGTAGGGGGAGAGGAAGATATTCTCATCAGAGACTCAATGTTTAGATTTAAATTTCCCAGTTGTCACACTTTAATTACAGAGCCAGAAAAACGAATGTTTTGATAAAATCTCTCATATCTGAGTCCACATATTTCTATTGGTCACATGCACAGGGATTGAATAACCTAGGTGTGTGATCACCCCTTCTCGTCATAATATTATAGCTGGGTAGAATTGAAATACAGCAGCTCATTCTCAACTTCCTTCAGTTAAGTTCTGTGTTTGTCTGCCAGGCAATGCAATTGTAGAAGTAGTGCAGCATATCTCCCATTGGCCCTGAAACTGGGTATAGACAACTTATCTTGTTTGAGCAGAACAGCTCATTTCCACATACGAAGATTGAAACCGGACCCTACTCCAGCAGAAAGGATCAGTCATTTTACATGGTTTTAGCTCTTTACATATTGAACTATTATGGCCTATGCGGTATCCTGATATTAAGCAAAATTGAGGTAGAATGAATCTAAAGTATATAAGACATACAATACAAAGTAAGAATTTCTCCTAATAAAAGCATAAATGTTATTTCTAAACAGTGAATGCTAACTTGACATAATTCACACGGACCTACAAGTCATGTATTAGAAAGGGGATCTATTTGTCCATATCATTAAAGATGTTGGAAACCTGGTTTTCAAACAGTCCTTCTAAAAGTAAGACTTTTTTAGTTTCTATTACATCACATTTAAAAACATGGTTTTAATGTAGTCTTGCTTGGCATTGGCAACCACCAGCATGCTTTAAAGGGTATCTATGGTCAAAAACTAAAAATATATATGTATTTCTCTATTGAATTTTCACAAGTTCTAGCCCACTCCTAATGACCATATCCATCTAGACGTTTGTAAACTTACTCGTTGAAGATGCCCATACAATGTACTTCCTCAATGCAGTGACACAATTTCACTTCAATGTGTCACAATTTTCACTGAAATAAAGTATGTCACCAGCACACCAGGAATCCTCATCCAAAAACACCTTTATTGATGTTCAAGCACTGCACAGGGTCCCGCACCTGACAAAGGGACTCTGCGTGGTCCCAAAACCTTGTTTTTTGACAAAATGCAGAAACATCAATAAAGGCGCATTTGGTTGAAGATCCTTGGTGTGCTGGTACTTTATTCTTTGGATTTGTACCATGCCATCCACAGAATCACTTCAGCACCCATTCAACACGGCATATACTGGCCAGGAGTGCAGTGGGATATCTACAACTCTCACAAAGCCTGCCTTTTGAACTAAAACTGAACATGTGCACAGTGTAACATTATTATTGCATGCTCGAGGCAGTGCATGATGGGATATGTAGTCTCGTGAAATTGAGTTTGCATCACATCAAGCAGCAGGTAAAGAGATGTAAAGCACACTGGGAATCCAGGAAGTTGTTGAAACTGATGGGCAGACAGAAGGCAACACTCATTATATAAAAGGGAATTGTTTTAAGTGAGCTTTGACTGCATTATGAAAAACAACTCTAATATGTATTCCTATTACAACGCTGATGTTATAACAGGATAGTGTATACTGGAACTTTACAACTGCTTTAAATGCTGATGGAAAAGTCCTTGGTTAAGTGCTCAGATATTGAGTTGTGTTGAGCATTAATTATCAAGTAGGTCTCCACTACATGGCCTATTCTCTGCCCATACTACAGCACACTTGAGAATATAATTGGCTCTACCATGATTGATTGTGGTCTTTGAACAAGGTAAATCTGACAGATCTGACACAGACTGAAAGTATTTACAAAAAAACATTATGTGTTGTGATGCAGGTGTGACATGTAGAAAAATATTTCCACTTGTTAAAAAACATGCAATAGTCATGGAAGCATAGAGATGCATTCTGACCATGCATTGGTCTTCTGAAGAATTACCAATTTAACAATGTTTCTCGTTTTCCCAAAACTTGCCTCATCTCCAGGTTGAAAGTATTTCACTGCAATTCCACACTCCATTACAACTCCTGAAAGATCTCTACCCAGAGTTATAGGGAATTCACTGCCCGGTGTGTTCAAGTGTAGAGGATCACGACTGATGTTCAGGCTGGCAGCTCCATAACCATCTGAAAATATGAGTATTTAGTCACTTATTGATGTCAACATTTACTGAATTCATGAATCACAGATCTTTGCAAATGATGGAAATGGAAAATATTCATCAATTACAACCATGGGAGAGGACTACTAAAACGTAGACATACAAGCTACATGTTTTTTCCTTTAACAATTTCATCCATAACATCTGTTCGTCCATTAGGGACCAAAACAATTTTTACATTTCAGCTTTAGGCCTACTGGCTCAGCAATCATTTGTTCACAATACAGGATAGTGAAGTGATGCATATATTGTTCTGGACAAACAGAGCTTCCTTTTGTGAACATAATCATCTACAATTATTTCTTTCTCATTTAAAAAGGTAAAAAAAAGGGAAAATAATAAAAAAAAAAACACTATTATTCCAGTTTAACCAGTAATATTGTTAAAAGTCTACAATCAATTATCAGTCCAAGCCATGCATCTATCGAGAGAGAACAATTATAATGCATTTTCCCATTGGAAAATGTCCCCATTGGAAGATGTCCCATCAACTCCTGCTTCAGTAGCACCGATAACATTTTTTGGATTTTCCATCACTTTCTGCATCGCTGACAATGGTCCCCAGGACAAATAAAGGGTGAATCTACCCATTGTGAACACAGACAATAAAAACTTGACAGGTGTTCAAACCTATCCTCACACTATTAAAAGAGAACTATGGCCAATCCTTTTTTGACCATAGTTCTCTTTTGGGTCACAGGAAGACATTTACTAATGTCCTCCTGTGACCCAGAACTCAGCATATACCTGTCTACTGCCGACTATTTACTAATGTCCTCCTATGACCCAGAACTCTGCATATAGCTGTCTACTGCCGACTATTTACTAATGTCCTCCTAAGACCCAGAACTCAGCATATAGCGGTCAACTGCCGACTATTTATTAATGTCCTCCTATGACCCAGAACTCAGCATATAGCTGTCAACTGCCGACTATTTACTAATGTCCTCCTAAGACCCAGAACTCAGCATATAGCGGTCAACTGCCGACTATTTACTAATGTCCTCCTGTGACCCAGAACTCAGCATATAGCTGTCTACTGCCGACTATTTACTAATGTCCTCTTATGACCCAGAACTCAGCATATAGCTGTCAACTGCCGACTATTTACTAATGTCCTCCTAAGACCCAGAACTCAGCATATAGCGGTCAACTGCCGACTATTTACTAATGTCCTCCTGTGACCCAGAACTCAGCATATAGCTGTCTACTGCCGACTATTTACTAATGTCCTCCTGTGACCCAGAACTCAGCATATAGCTGTCAACTGCCGACTATTTACTAATGTCCTCTTATGACCCAGAACTCAGCATATAGCTGTCAACTGCCGACTATTTACTAATGTCCTCCTGTGACCCAGAACTCAGCATATACCTGTCTACTGCCGACTATTTACTAATGTCCTCCTATGACCCAGAACTCAGCATATAGCTGTCTACTGCCGACTATTTACTAATGTCCTCCTGTGACCCAGAACTCAGCATATAGCTGTCAACTGCCGACTATTTACTAATGTCCTCCTGTGACCCAGAACTCAGCATTTAGCTGTCAACTGCCGACTATTTATTAATGTCCTCCTATGACCCAGAACTCAGCATATAGCTGTCTACTGCCGACTATTTGATGAGAGCGCAGAGCTGCGCTGCAGCCAGGAAAGATCCCCACAATATTGTTGGGATCCACCCTGCTGCTAGATTGACAGCTGACTCTGCCTCTCTAGAGCCAGAAGCAGCTGTGCCTGTCCCCTCCCATGCTGATAGAAGGGGAAAGCAGAGTGAAAAATGGAGGACCTCATCACTGTACTGCTTTCCGTTGTGCAGTCACAGCCTGGGTTAGGTTCATGACAGACTGGGCTCAGAGGAATTGAGTTAAATGATGCTGGCCATCAGAGTGGGTACTGCAAAAGGAAATCTCTGTATTGGAGATAACTATTCCAGCATAAGCTAATTGTGTTTTTTTTTCTTATCTTTTAATTGGCTATTCATTTGTATCTTGTTATTTTTGGCTGGAGTTCTGCTTTAACTTCAAAGCATTTGAGGGAACAATTTTCCCTACACAAGAGACAATTAATTCCTCACTCTGCGGTTCTTCTAAAATGACCCTCTCTTTAAGTTACAGAATACCCTGCTCCTTAGCATGGTGTGAACTGACCCTCATATCAACTGACAATTAAAAAACATTTATTTTCCGTTTTAGCGTTAGTGAAGGGTTAGGACCTCTGCCAGCCGGGCCCATGCTGGGGAAATGAATCCTCTTTATTTGCCCTAATAAATGGAACTGAAAGTTGTCACCAGTACAGAATACAGAATAGGTCTACCACTGGGGACACTGGTTGCAATGACAACTAAGGCGATTCAGATGGGCGATTCTGCCACTAGAGACCAATCTCCATCGGCAGGATTACTAAGAGGCTGCCTGTCTGCATCTATGAAATCACTCACCCTGTAGCCAGATGCAGGGAGATGCTGACTTCATCACATGTAACACAAGTCCATTAACTTGTATTATACATGAAGACGCCAAGGGACATTACAAAGCGGTAGATTTGAGCAGTCAATGCCGGAGGACCAGGGATCAGGTGAGTATATCTTTTTTATTTTACACCCTAAACCAAAATGAACACTAAACCCTTGAAGGGTGGGGGTAGCCCCACTGCAAGAGTTAGTTTTTATCTACCCGGAGTTCTTCTTTAACAATTCAATTTGTGTTCTCATCCCATCTTCCTCTATGAATCACAACAAATAAATGTGATGTTTTACATGACCACATGCAAGTAACCATCAGGGATAGCCAATCAGAATTGAATTTGAACGATACCGCTTTCTGCACAAGCGGTGCATTCTCATTGCACTGTCCAGCATTGTTCCTAAGTAAACTAGGAACCCTGTAGATTTAGAACCATACTCACTTCGCATATTGACATCAATGGGGTTTACACTTGCGGCATGGACTTGAATGATGACTTCATTGGGGTACTTGATGGAAGGGATGGGCATATTATCATTGAAGCGCAGAACATCATTCTTCCCATATTTGTCGATCACCCACGCTGGCATGATTGTATTTCTTACAGACGATACATGAATTCCTCTGTCCTTACCAGTTTTTAATCTTACGATTGGTCTTTTATATAAGCTGGCAGTCCTCCAAAAACATCTGTTACATGCCATGCTGATCATTTTCAGTGTAGTCTATAAATAGTACTTATTATATGCAAATATTCAACTGCCGAAATTCAGTACCTTTGGAAAACATATCCTAGGTTTTCACTAGTGCTCATCTATATCCTTTATGCTCCACCACCAGCCACAGGTCAATACATTGAAGCCTTTGTAACGTTTCTAACATACAAAATGAGTTGCAAGAAAAGAGCTGCCACATGACAAGATTCGAGCCTATGCACTGTAATAATAGTTTCCCGCTGCGTCCTTAATGTAACATTTGTCCGTATTTCTCTTCCTCTTCTCTCCTCTGTGCCCTCTAGTCACTTCCGCGTTCCGAGCCTCGTTGTCGTACTGTCCAATCATGTTGTGACTTGGAAGAATATTATCCAATCGGCTCTCTTGGTATTGCTAGGTAGCTGTTTGCCAACCAAAACATGTCGGCTCCTGTTCTGATCACGACTATGTGGTTGTCTATTTAGTATAATAATGCTTGGGATGAGTTTACGTGAGGTGAGTGACTAGCAAAGAGACGCTTTGTATTGCTTTGAAATCGGAATGAGTGAATGAAGCGTAGTGCAGTGAATTCGTGACTGTAAATAGCTAATACATGGGGGAAAGTGCCCAAGCTTGCATGACTTATTGACGTAAGACTATAGCTCAAGACAGCTCAAAAATACAGTGAAGGGAAGTCATCAAAATCTGGAGCAGCTTGTGCATGGCAACCAGTCAGCATCCAGCATTTCATTTTCAAACTTAATTGAACAAAGTGAAGAGAGAAGCTGATTGGTTACCCTGGGCGTGATAATTTGGTAAATTCCCCCCAGTATGTTTGACCTGGCAATAGGGAAATGCTTTTACAGCTTCTATTATTAAAGCATATCTACAGCCAAACTTTGATATAGTAGTGAATGGTTAAAACCACTGTCATTTCTTTTTGCACCATCTGTGCCCCTTTGAGAAGAGATCCCTTCTGTTCCTGTTCTGTAGACTCTACAATAGGGATATGCATGGGTTTAGTGCGAACCAAGCTTATTCAAGCTCGTGCAAAACTGTCACTGACAACCCCCCTCCCACCCAAAATAGCTGTAGCTGGGCCATTCCCTGCCTCTGTTACGTGTGGCGGTGAATGCCCTGGCCGTAGCTGATTGGGGTGGGAGGGGGATATGTCACTGGCATTTTTTGCTCAGGCCCACGCATATCCCTTCTTTAGAATAAAAGAGATTACATTTCTCTAAGCCCTCATTCACACTAGAAAAGGCCGGGAAGGACAGGTGCTGCATGTGATTAGTACGCCGCCCCCGTCCTTCTCTATGGGAGTTTGTGGCCATACGCTGCCCTGCACATCCGTGCGGGTGTCCGTACTCGTACACTGACCGGATAGATCCTGTCTGCCTCCGAGCCAGGAAACACACACTCGTGCGGAACTGCACTTGGGGTGAGCGTAGGGCGGCTTACAACCGCGTACTCCCATAGAGAAGAAAAGGGGGCTGCGTACTAATCACACACAGCACCTGTGCTTCCCGGGAGCTGCCCGATACAGCCATGCACTGATCTGTACGTGCCGGCCTTTTCTACTGTGAATGAGGGCTAAGGGTCCATTCATACCAGATGCGTTGGGAATGGGTTTTTCAGTGCACTCCCAACGCACAGCAATAAAAAATAAATGAAAATCAATGAGACCAGTTCACACCAGCACAATGTGTTGCGTTTATCCACGCTGAAAAAAGTTTTTTAGCACATGCAGCGCAACACAACATGCAAAAAATAAAAAAGTTCCTATAGATTGTAAGCTCTTACAAGCAGGGCCCTCCTACCTCCTGTACTCAACTTGTATTGTTAATTGTATTCTCTCCCTCAATTTTCTAAAGCTCTGCGCAAACTGTTGGCGCTATATAAACCCTGTAAAATAATAATATAGAAACATAAAAATAAAAGCTAAAGGAAAACGCATCGCAGCATAGCGCAAACGGGCTCAGCACGTGTTAAAACATGTACATGTGGCGAACTTTGCACATCCCGATGTGCCACGCTGCATTATTGCATGCACTATGATGGAAATAAACCCTGAAGGAGGAGAAGTTCTCTTTTAGAGAGTCATCACTGGAACAAGCGTTCCTCATGGAGGATTTCCCCTCTATTCCTGTTCTGGTGACAACTCATCCCATCACTTTCAGTCCCAGTGACAGTGATTACTATCACAGATGGAGAGACTGAATGGGGACAACAAGCTGGCCATTCACTGTATGAATGAGACGGGCTGAAAGAGAACATCACTTGGTTCCCCCATCCATGCTAATAGTGTGGATGAAGGAATGTTCTATGACCGCTAGATACTAATACCTGAACAGCAACTGCAGCTGTAGTCACTGTTCATTCCACAATTTTCCACTGCTGTGCTTTTGACAGAAGTTAGTTGGCTCGACAAAAGTTGATTTTTCAGGTGGTACTGGTGGGGGCGCCCACAGATCAAATTTCAGTCAATACAGCAGGAAGCGGTCAGATTTGATATGTGTATGGCCAGCTATGGACCGCAATAAAAAACTGTGGATTGAATCTTCTTCTTGCAACATACTTCAGGTAAAGTCAGATGCCTGGTCCCCATCTTCACTCCGTGGTTTCATCCACCAGCTGCTATGTCACTACAGCACACCGTGGTGATGTAGGGGCCAGTGGGTTAAAGCACACAGTGCAGCAGCTCTTCAAAGGAGGGAAGGTGCTGATTTTGTTTATGCTCTTGCTTTCATTACTTGTATGTGCTCTTTGTGTTTTTGCAGTTGATTTAGGTTCTTATTTTTATTCGTTCACAGGCAGCTGTTGCCTTGAGGAGCGGGCAACTAAGCCCTATAGAATTGTGCCAGAAGTGCCTATCATTCATTAAGGAAACCAGATTTCTCAATGCTTACATAAATGTAACTGAAGATGTTGCTCTTAAGCAAGCCGCCGAGGCAGAACAGCGCTTCAGACAAGGTACTGTATAGTTCTGTAGAGGCTGCACAGTCAGTGGCGATTAATGGCTTGAGATAAAAGGATGCAATTAACGGGATGGCTCACCTTTTACCCTTTTCATTATTGAGGTATGGGAAAATGTTTGTTTACTGACTGTAAAGTTTTTCATTAATAAACATTTCTTAACGTAGATGGAAAGGCATCACATACTGACAGTGCTAAACAGTCCCTCTATCATAGTTTTAAGGTTCTCTATTTTCTAATGCATTAAAATCCAGTGCCTTTTTTTTTTTCCATTTGTTTTCTTGTGGTCACTTGACCACTAATTTTCCATCCTGGATCTTTTCCTGCTGAGAGTTGGTTAGAGCAGCACCAGAGCTTAGGGTACAAAGCCAGTGAATGTACAGTAGATGAAGCATTCAAGGGAATACAAAACTTTTGCATTCATAGTGAGGATATGCAGCTTCCGGGTACCAACAATGCTAGGAGAATAGAGAATAAGCCACCTCAATAGCTGCTGTGTAGAGCTGTCAGCCCCAAACAGGAACTAAGGCCATGAGCAGGAAAACAGCAGAATCATCAGTAGACTTGTAAGTTTCGTTTCGTACCCAAATTTCATCCAAATTTCTGAATTAAAATTCAGTTTCAAATTTCAGTTGCATTTCGAATTTCGTCCAAATTTCCAATTCAAGTGACCAGAACAGACTAAGAGGACTAGTACAGACTAAGATATGACCAGTACAGAACTAAAATTACCAACCCCCAAGTTAATGAATGAAGTTCATTTTTAACTAAATTTACTTTACTAAATTTGTATTGATCCGAACTGAAAAACACAAACATTTGGATTAATCTGAACCAAAAACAATTTTTTGAGCCTTTACATGTCTGATCATCAGGTATTTTACTGATATTAAAATGCTAATTGAAAGAAGCATACTGTTATTGTACACATACTGTATTTTTGAAAGTTTTGAAAAATAGTTGATTTTTTTTTTTTTATATATTTTCTGCCCTAGTGAAAAAAAAAACAAATATAAAACTTCATTTTAAAGCATGTACAGTTAAAAATAAAATACAATTGACAAAACCATTTTAGTTCGCCTTTGAAGTGTATGTAAACGAATCTCTAAAATCTCATAAAAGTTTTAACCCCTTCCTTTTTTGCACCCATGTTATATTCCACATTTTAGGCCTGAAAATTACTTCAAACCCCCAAACATTATATATTTTCTGAAAGCCAAGACCCTATAGAATTAAATGGTGGCAGTTGCACATTTCTATGTTGCACGATATTAGCGCAACTCCTTATCAAACCCCAAAATTTAGTGAAAAATGTACTTAAATGCCCCAAAACACAATAAAATACCCATTTTTTTAAATAAAATATAATACCCGGTAAATAGATACCCAACATGCCCAGGTTAAAAATAGTTTGGCGTCCGTGAAACGGCGACAAACTTCAGTACCCCAAAAAGTCCATAGATGACGCTTTAAAAGCCCCCACAGATAATGAATTTAGAGATACCCATAAATACTGTCCCTAGAATTATTGCTCTCACTCCGGCGTGCGCGATGATACCCAACATGTGTAGCGCGCTCGCCGTTTTCCGACTTTACAAAACATTTTTTTATTATTTTTAGATTTACTTTATTTCATTTTAATTTTAAAAACTGTTTTTTTTTTATTACTTTACTTTGATTGCTGTCACATAGGGGGGCTTACAAGCCCCCCTATGTGATAGCAGATAGTGGTGACAGGTACTCTTTAAGGTGATGCTGGGGGTCCAAAAGACCCCTAGTGTCACCTTTACACTCCAAATAAGCTATTGAAGTGCAGATCGCACTTCAATAGCCTATAGCTGAGCTTCAGGAGCCCAGCACTGACAGTTATTGGACCGGAAGTGATGCAATCTGCATCGCTCCCGGTCCCATAGAACGGGAAGGGGATCGACGAACTGAGATTCGTCCAACTCCTCCCCAGCTTCCCACCGACACCAGAGAAGCCGGTCCCGGGCCCGTTGGAGGGGCAACGGAGCCCGGGAAGCACGGCAGGGTGTCGCCAGAATTGCTTCTATTGTAAAGCCGACAGTCGGCTTTCCAAGTTTAAACAGTGTCACAGCGGCAAATGCCGCAGGGAGTCTGTTTAAACAGCCCCGATGCTAGCAACGTACACTGTACGTCGTTAGTCGTGAAGGGGTTAACATGTTAGTGTAATTTTAAGAGTCTTTTTCAATATTCATCTTAAATTAATAATGCCCGGTAATCCTGCCTAAAAACGTCCTTGTTCAGGCTTCCTGTTATACAATGACACCCTGCCCCAGTCTTCCGATTGTGCTCCTGCGTTGTCACTCTGTCATGTAGACTACAATTGACCATTTCAACATACATTATGCTGGCATGGTCCATTGTTGTCACCATCAGGAAATCCGCCCTGTGAAATGCCAGGTAGCTGACACTAGACTGTGTATATTGAAAGTTGCTGCAGGAGATCAGAAGCGCTGATGATGCAACAAAGGATTAAAAAGGTGAAAACTAGTTTTTTATTAACGAAAAAGGGGAACTGTTTATGACACCGTGCTTTAGCAAGCTAATGTCATTCTATTGGATTTATATTTACTTTAGGCTCTAATTGTTTCTACTTATTCAAACAAATCTTCATTTTAGTTATATCGAAATCTGTTAAACTTTTCTCTACATAGAGCAAATATTTTTCTCTTGTTCGCTATGTACACTTGTTACTCTTTTTATCACTAGCAGTGACAAAGCAGTACCCAGACTGCTGCAGCGCTTGTAGCTGCCCAACTGTTTGCAGCATGACATAGCTTTGGCCTCAGAATACCATTGAAAGCTATGGGATTTCAAGACCAGAGTAACATTTCCCTGAAGAATGGAGGGCAGCTTTTTCACAGCCACAAACCAGCTGATTGTTAGAAATCCGAGAGAGGCGATCCCCACTGTTCAGGTTCACTCTGCCGTTAACCTGCTCAGTTACTTTATAGAAAAGGAAGGTCATAAGGGCAGCAAGTCAATTGAAACTTGATTAAAAATATGTACACACTATCAGGCTTAATAAGTAAATCAGGGCTTAGTGGATGGGTTATAGCCAAAGTGAAGCAATGCAGAGCATTCTCTTAAAGCCGAACTCCATCCAACACCTAAAAACATACTTGAAATGCATATATGAGATCTACTGTACCTACCCAGGGATTTGAAATTCCGTACAACTTGAGATTTACACATCTTTGCCACATTACATAGCCAGGCAGATGACACACATTTTCTGGTTAAGCAATTCAGGTTTCTATGTTATATCTACACGCACGTCTGCTCATTGGATAAGAAGTCATTATTATGACTATGTCTGTCCAGTGGGCATGGAGGATGTTCCTGGATGGGTGTTGTGGCATAGGTGTGTACATAACAAGAGTGACATATTGAATAAATGTCAAATCCTCTGGCAGGTAAAAAGTGATTCTGTTGCAAAAATAAATCCCAGAATTAAAGCTTTCCCTGCAAAAAAAACTACTTCTGCCCCTGCCCTTGTCACCCCAAGGGCTTAATATTATTTATTTACATTTTTTTTTCATGAATGGAGAACTTTTAGGTGAGTGATTTTCATTCATCCTCATAGTTAGCGCCGACCTGTGACAAAGAAGCTGCCACTGGTCGGCTCTATTGATCGGGAAGTGGGCAGAAACATGCAGCCGATTCGCTCACCTAATCGATCGTCTCCCTGCAGTGAGCAGTGACTGTCAGTCACTGCTCCCTGCGAGATTCCCCCCTCTCCAATCCTCCAGCGCTGAGTGGAGGAACGGATGGGGGAGGGGGCGGGCACAGCAGGCTCTGCCTCTAGCTAGACAGAGCCAGCTGTCACTCACGCAGCTGGGCGGATCCAGAGAGTATTGTTGGGATCCGTCCCGGCTGCGGCACTCTCAGTATATCGCGGGCAATAGCCCGCGATATACTGAGCTTTGGGTCACGGGAAGAGGTTAGTATATGTCCTCCCGTGATCCTAAAGAGAAATATGGGGAAAAACACTTACCCCATAGTTCTCTTTTAAACCATGTAACTGCAACAGCACCAATCCACACTGGGCAGCCATGCTTAAACAGAGAAATTGTTATGCAGTGACGTCTGCAGGATGTTTCAGAGGTTTGTTGCTTGCTCCACTCTCACATCGCACAGTGTGGTGTGGAACAAGTGAAAAAACTTCATGTCTTATGTGAATAATACAGCAATCACCTGTTTAAACAGATCTTGCCTCCAGTGTGTTGTAACTAGTAGTGGCAGAATGTCACAAAGCATTTGCATTTTCTTTAGTTCTGCATCTGTAATAAAAAAATACATATAATAAGCCATGTCTTGCTTACAAAAACACGTCATGTTTTATGAGGTTGTGTTCTTTTTTTTTTTTTGACTGGAAATGCCATGTTTTTGTCATTGCAGGCAAACCCCTCGGGGAATTAGATGGGATCCCAGTTGCAATTAAAGACAACTTTAGCACTGCCAATATAGAGACAACATGTGCATCAAAAATGCTAAAAGGTAAATTATTGCCCTATCTGTGGATTTCACACATGTCACACATGACCTTGATGTCAGGGATGGACAAAATAATATGAAATTCAAGAGCCAGTCTGTCCAATCCAGGAGCCAGCTCCATTGACAACAACTACAGAAAACCTCAAAAGTTGGGCACCAGCTGGCATTTTTAAGGAATATTAGCTGCCTGGCTCCTGGGATTTGCACAGCCCTGGTGTAAGATGTTTTTTTTACTGTAGCTGTCAATGTTCTTTTCATAATTAACTTCTTTTTTTTTAAGGATACATTCCTCCCTTTAACGCTACCGTTGTGCAGAAACTACTTGACCAAGGAGCGGTTCTCATGGGAAAAACTAACCTTGATGAATTTGGTATGGGGTATGTAGCATGATCCTTGTTAAACTGAACTTTGAGCCCATCTTTCTTAGTGCTTATGGCGGGGACTCTTCCTATTCCTAATAGGTGGAAAAGGAATAGTTTGACATATTAAAGTACATTTTTGTTAATGGGGAATGCATTTTGTTATATTTAACCTCTGAGTTTAATGTAATTTTAACCATAGAACAAGTTGATGTGGGTGACATTTCATAATCTACTTGCCAATGTACCACTCACAGTGTTTTAAATGTGATGGTGTTATGTGTGTAGGAAACAGTAGTGGGTAGTGTGGTAATTCATGAAAGAATAATTTAGTGCAGTACACTGTGATCACAGACCACTTTTCCTGTGCGGAGATCAGGGGATTTTAATGACTGGCTGCACAGATCAAATCTCCATGCTTCTCAGAACTCTAGAACAGCAAGCTGAACTGGCTTATCTTGTTCCATGGGAAAGAAGACCTGTTAATTCTTCATGAGGAAAAATACTGGCTGTCCTAGCAGAGGAAACACCTTCCCTGGGATTCACAATAAACATCTAATTTTATGACTAATATAAACCAGTGGTAGGTAGCTTTATGTTATAATTCTCTTGTGAGAGAGATTCTATTTAAAGGCTGTACCTACTAAACTTTATCTGTTAACACGTGAAAGCAGACATTTTATTCTAATTCTATAAAGCTGAGCAAAATGCAGTAACAAAGTGCTGAGTGCAACAACCTATTCAATTCCACTCTACTATTGTAATCAGAGGAAGATGAATATTTATTGGTTGGCACATTGAAGTTGGCTTTATTTAATATGCCTGGAAAGTGTTTTAGTAGTTCTTATATGGTTAGTGCAATATTTCTTTCATATGTTTTTGCATCATATGTGATACTGATTATTGGTTCCCCCCCAAGACCATTGCACCCAAGAACAAAAAAAAATGTATGACATTAAAGTCCATTTTTTTTCCTCCCCCAATGTAAATGTCAGCACTTGCCTTAAATGACGTCTCTTAATCCAATCTTCCTCTTCTTTCCTGATGTTTTCATCTGTCCCTCCAGCGCTGCGGCTGGTGTCCAAACCAGCGCTGACTCCTCTGTCCTTGCTGGCACTTCCAATCCCACAGTGCCCGCATGCGGGTGCACGCGTCCATAGACTTACCTTGCATCTCTCCTCGTCTCCCGGCCGAAAATCCGAACTGCGCATGCGCCCGCCCCAAGATGCTTTGCGGCCGCCCGAGCATTTTCGGATTCTTCTTTTTTTTTTTTCTTTAAACGTTTTGCATATATCTATTGCTCGCTAGCAGTAGATATATGCAAATAAAACGGAGGGTTTAGAAACCCTTTAAGTAATTATTAACAATGTAATTATAGATGTTAACAATCTGAAACCTTTAGAGAAATACATATATTTAATATTATGCAATGTTGTGTAGCCTATTGTTCTGTAAAATCTGCAATTGGGGCAAGAGGAAGAATGTTGGGTAGTTTGGGTTCTGATTAGAGCATAACCTTCCAGAGCCCTGCCCCCATATGACCTAGATACTACTGTTGTATTCTCCCCCTCCCCCAATACCTCCATTTAGCTGTAATTTAGCCTCACTATTTTGCTGCATAGCAAGGAGTCATAGAGTAATTACTTATGCTGTATTTGGTAGGACAGACTTTGGGCATTTTTTCCCTTTTCTTTCCTGCTTTGGGTTTGTTAGCAATAATTTGTGCCCAAAAGAGGAGAAGAATCCATGCAACTACACTGTTACAGTTCTGCTTAGTGCAACTAAATATGATCCAGGTACAGTTAATAGTACCCATATATTTGAGATGGTTGTTGCACAATCTGGCCCCTAAAAGATAAATCGAGAAAGAATCGGGCCCTCTCTGACTTCTACACACACTTTTCTCAATGTCTTGGGGGAATAATTGTCTATCGGATAATAATTTTGACCAAATGAACACTTTTGTTCATCCTTGGAAGGCTGGCTTTATGGGTATCTGCTCCATATATAAACACATTCAGTTCATACAACTATGCAAGTTTATTCTACGATGGTTCATCAGAATGATCGTATGTTGTTTGTGATGTGAGAGTGGTAAGGTATAGAAATTAATATCAGTTTATTTCACTGTTTGCGTGCCACACTGAGGATCTCTAAAGTCTGAAAGATGTAAACTGCAGATATATAGGAGTTTCTCCGTGGTATTCTACAGGGTTATGCTTAAGGCAATTAATATGGAAACTGTGTCTTTTTTTTTTTCCTTCTAAATCTAGATCTAAAGGTTATTGTATTTTATCAACCTAGGTCTGGAAGTACTGATAGCATATTTGGCCCAGTAAAAAATCCATGGAGCTATTCAAAACAGTACAGAGAAAAAAGATCCGGCTCTGGTGCCCTTGTTGATGAAGATACTGATTGGGTAATTACAGGAGGAAGCTCAGGGGGAAGCGCTGCTGCCGTGTCTTCTGGAACATGTTGTGTGTGAGTAGGACGGCTACTGTTATGAGTAAATATGATTTATATAGATATATGTGGGCTGTAATATTTCCTCTTTCTGTTTTTAAATAGAAATTGTATCATCTTAAACTACTCCTGCTTCTCAACAGTAAACTTGTCCAAATCAAATATTCTCTCTCTTGCTTGGTAAGCTCTAACCCTCTTCTGAGAGCGTGAAGGCATCAGGAAGTTTTTCTTTAATCTGCTAACCAATGCGTACATTTGTAACTTTACAAAGGGGTTACCAGTGAAGAAAATTTTAACTATCTTTTTATGCTGGTCAAAGGCAAGCCAGTGTAGGTAATCCCTTTTGAAGTCATCGCTCATATTACTTGTCTATTCTAAACGCTCGTGTTTAGTAGAATGTGACTGGATGTCAATTTTGTGGGTTGCCTATAGGTATTATAGGATGGTTGGGAGTGCAGACACTTTCAAGCCATCTTTATGGCTTCTTTTAAGCACAGCAGAGCACTCTGTAAACTTGTAGGCTCAGTACTGTCGAGTTGAGACTGAGAGAGGATTTGTAACCTGTCATCTCTTGTCTGAACTCAAGGCAGCTATAAAAGAAACAAATGATTGTAGCTCTGTATCAATTCATCTTTTTTTTTTTTAATTCAAGCAGTTTAAATACCTGAATTTGACCTGGTATCAGAAGCTGCAAAACAAGCCAATCAGTTAATGTGCTAAAAAAAAGATCATGTTGATAAGAGTAGTGAGCAGAGTGACAAAAAAAAGTAGTGTGTGTGCTGCTTCTCTTTCACTATCCAGTCACAGTCTAAGGGTGGGGAGGAAACCTTTAAGTATTCTTAACTGCAGTATTGAAGTAAATCAGAACTAAGGTCTGCCTGATGGAGCTGTGCTGGATGGCATCACTGTGTAAATCTCAGAAGTGGGTGGACAGAAATACAAATCCTTTGGTCCAGAGCTGTGTTGCATACTGAGGCATCCATTAATGAATGGTGCCCACTGATTCTCAGCGGTTACCGGCATTCCCCAGCCCCAAATAGCTGATCACGTACAGTATACGTGATCAGTCATTTGGGCACTCATGGCGGGGACGTACAGTGTATGTCTCCCGTCATGAAGGGGTTAATAATTGTATGTACAAAGGCAAGCAGGGTTGTTAATCAAAGCAACAAATCTAGTACTAAATTTAAAGCCTGTCCCTTTGTGGCAAAATTGACAACTAGAATCTACCTGCCATGGGTAAATGCTACCTCTTTATTTAAATTAACTGCTAATTGTTTTGCTTTGCAGAATGATCTAGTTAGGTGATTTTTTTTGTTACTTGATATGAAAATGTATAATAAAGAAGGGTAATGGCACTTGCCCTTTTGATTAAAAGATCTTTATATATAAAAGATGGCTGTTATGGATAGCAATATAGAACATGTTGATTTTACCCTTCATAAGATTGCTGTAATCTTGGTCTATTCTCCTGTGTGCCACCATTGTATGTAACACCCCTGCTGAGTCTTCCTAGAGCATGCAGTCATTTCTAGGATTTCAGATACACCAGTAGTGTGTTTATTCTATATCTGACACACATTTTGCATTCTGGCCTATGTATGTAAATATAACAGCCCTGATGAGTGAAGCCTATGTTTTTAAGACATTTGTTTACGCTCATGGAAAAAATGTTTGCTTATTTTTTGCATAGATAGTTTTTAATGCTGAGTTGCGTAAGCAAACACAGATTTCCACAAGGAAATATCATGGAAAGATTAGGGTGTATCTTCAGTCTGTCTTAACTAAATCACAAAGTAGTGAACAATTTGTAAGCCAGCCCCCATATAACCCCTTCCTAACCCAGCATGCCTCCATTTTATGAGAAAGCAGTACAAATGGCCAAAAAAAACACTTAGAGGGGTGAGACTTGTGTCCCTCAATGGCATACAACAAAAGGATCTCATTTCTTTTATTGTCCATTGAGGGACCCTCAATTCTAATGCAGTTAGGATGTGTAAACGCAGTCCAACTGGATACCTTACAACCCAACTGGTGCATGAAAACACTCTGCCTAAGGATGAGTATCAATCCTTCCATCCTTCCACCCCTACAGCTACAGTGTACCCAAGAAATGACAGATAACACTCCACACCTGCCAACCAGACCCACGACACAATTCTTTGAATCGTTCACTTTGTCCTAAACCCATGCCACGTCCTCCACTGCAGAGTTATAGGCAGGCATCTCAGACTGGCTACTAGGAACATTTCACCTGAATGGGAGCCTGAACGACAATGTTACCAGAATACATTTCAGACGAAGGACCTGGTGATCAGGTCCCACAGAAACCTCCAGACTTACACTAACCCCCTTGGGGGTAAATGCCACAGCATCTTGGCACATTCTTTCTGTTGACAGTCTAGGGGAGTACAGGGACATCCAGCAATCAATACATTCTGCCAAGCAGGAACAGATGGGCATAGAGATGCTGAACCCTCACACATCGATGTTGAGGCCACCTGCAGAGGAGATCCAGATGGCAAAGTTTTGCCACCCATAAAAGCAGTGTGGTCACTAGGGGACACAGTTGGCATCATCCGTGGGAGAGATTCCAGACCTGTCTCACTCAGGAGGTCCTGTCTCACTCAGGCGATGTTTAAGGGAGGTCCGGTCAGCACATGGACTTACAGAAGTATCCCCCTTGCAAGGCGGGAACATTCTGCTCTGGAGAACCATATGAAAGTCCCAGGTTTGGGGACCTATCAGACAGAGAAGCATTCCCAGGTAAATAGGAAAGCTCCTCCCCATCCCGTAACAGAGAAAGCAAGGTAGCGTCCAGGACTTGATTCAAGAGGATCATCTGGATGCGTCTCCTAGACCCCAGAGACCCCAACACTGAAAGGAAGGCTAAGGGTGACTGAGAGCCTGCAAGAGAAGGGGATACCATAGTAGGAGGCGAATTCCCAGACGTCCTACATGCCCCAAAGGGGGAAGGAGGGAAAACTTCCTTGATAGGTAAAGAAGAGAACAAAAGTTTTAAAAAGGGGGCCTTTTTAGTGTGGGCCTAAGGTGTCAAGAGCAGGTCCGAAGAGGCAGAGTCCTTTAAAGGGCAACAGAATCAGATTTTCTATTGATGTATCATCTGTGTCCCAGACATGCAGCCAGAGTGCCTTACATATTTGTCCCCTGCAAGACATGAGCTTTGATTCCTGGAATAAGCCATCACAATTGAAGTGCAAGGCTCTAGACATTTGACCCAATTGCTCAATGAACCTTCCCTAGCGATGGAAGGGTCCCCTTTTAGGCAATCAATCCATTCTGACACAGTTTGGCAGATATAGAGCCAGTTCAGCCAATTCAAAGTGGGATCTGAGGAGGGTTTAGCTATCTGACAATAAAATCTTGAAAGGTGAGAACACTTCTAACCTATTGCGTGGTGAGCCTGTTAATTTGGATAATTGGCGCATCTACGTTGGCAAGACTCTACCAATTTATAAACTCCCGCTCAAAAGGAAAGAGCCTCAACATACTGTGTTGGGAGGCCCAGGACCCCGCATGGTGTTTCCAGCTCACATAGGCAAATTACTTAAACAGTGGTTGTAGCAGAAAGGCAGCTGTAAGAGCTCTAAAAGACCATAGGCCCTGAGCAACAGGTTGCTCTTCCAGATACAGGGTAGTATCCACTGTATCAATCAGGTTTAAAACAACCCAGGCTTAAAGCTGGGTCATCAGCAAATGGCTCCGTAAAAGCTTCCTCAAAGGAGGAGTGTGGAGTGTTGGGGCCCTGGAATCAGAGACAGACTCTGCTGGAGATGGCACCAGGGTGGTCTTAGAGCCTGCAGGCAGATAGGACCTACATTGTAATTGATGATGTCAGGTTGTTACTACTGCAAGTGTAGTTTTTTCAAATCCTGGATTTCAACTTTAACCCTTATTGCAGTAAACTGGTGGTGGTGGTGAATTTAAAACGGCACCCAAGGGCGCAGCAGTGAGTTAGCTTCCGGTGCATCAGCCCAATTAGCCTTACTCGCAAAGAGAGTCTTCAGAGATTGGGTCATACCTGGGGCGGTGCCATGCCTCTGGACTCAGAAAGCACTCCATGGTTAAATAACCAGTACATTGAGGGCTGGAAAGCACCAAATGCAGAGACAAAGGTCACATTCCAAGATAACCCCGCATTCATCCAGTCCAGTGGGGTCTGGGTATGGCTTCTAAAATTAGTGCTGAGAAGCTGGCAATCTGGTAAGCTGCTATGAGACAAGTTCAAGCAGTGGTACTGCAAGGAATCTTTCTTGTCATGGAGGAGAAAAAAAAACCAGCAGTGTAGCAAAAGAGAAAATCTTGATTGAAATGGCAAAGGTTGGAAGACTAGCAAAAAAATTAGACTTTTTGAGCATAGCTAAAAAAAAAGGTGTCCACCCTCCTGGGATACTGTCAAAAAACGAAAAAAAACGAAGGCATGTTAGGTACAGGAGGGGTTATATGGGTGACTGGCTTACAATCTCCTGTATGTGGCACTATAACCCAACTGTAATAAAATTGCTGTGTCCCTAAATAAACGATAAAGAAAAAACAAACATTTGTTTGTACATCTCTGCAATACAAGAATATTTCCTCATGTTTTATCCCTTTAACTATCAAATAACTGTTGATGTTCCAGAAATATGGTGTACTCCTACATTTCTCTTTTACACATCAGCACAGCTCTGAATTCACATGTTCCTAGATTACAAAGGACATAGACCTCTCTGGGGGACGCACTGGAGTCCCAGCGTGCATTTTTGGTTGCTGGGCCTCCAGTGCGTCCCTGCACCTTATTAGGAGGAGTTGGCTACCTCCAGGTACACCTGCATGTAATTTATCAACTTCATTAATATGCTCACACTTGGAGACTCGTATACATAGAGTTAGGACCACACTTTGCAGAGGTGCCTTGGCGCGGCAGTGTGGCTTCTACATATTTTTGGCCAAAAGTTTGTGCAACTAAAACCTCTGATTTTAACGCATACTGTTGACAGGGCTACTTGTTTGGTTGCAGGCTGGCTGGCAGGTTGAGGCTGGGGAATTTTTGTGTTTTGTACCACCCTCTCTCCCCATCTCCGAAAATCAACAGGTATTGTTTGCACTGATCGAACAGATATAACAAACTTTCAATTGTCTATATATAGCAGATTAAAAGGGAGAAAATAAGAAAAGGTTATTGTTAGAGTTTTCATACACTTTAACTCTGTTGCTGAAATCATCCAAAATGATAGCCACTTACATTATCACTAAATGACCATCCAGGTTCTTGTGGAGGAACAAGTATACAGGAAGTACTCTCTTGTGCTCTACATGTTTCATTATTTAATGCACCTTAGGAAACCCACTCCTGCCCACTGTCCCTCTGTTTTCCCCACCCGACTGTTAGCCTCTTGGTTGACTTGGGTGCATTGAATGCTGGGACTTGCAGAGCACATATTAGTACTTCCGGTATACTCTTTCCTTCACAGAGCTCTGGATGATAATTTGAAAATGATGAAAGCAGTTTTTCATTCATTTAGATTATGAGAAAAAATACATTGTCATTTTTATGTGTCATTTGATCAAGTATGATATCTTTATTTACCATGGGGTATGCTTACTTTTTCACACTGGTGCATTTATTGGAACAGAGAAGTATGATTAACCCAGAAGTTTTTCTTCTTACATGACTTTGTACAGGGCTTTGGGATCAGATACTGGAGGGTCCACCCGTAACCCAGCATCTCACTGTGGAGTAGTGGGCTTTAAACCCACATATGGGCTTGTTTCTCGTCATGGCCTTATTCCCTTGGTAAACTCTATGGATGTTCCAGGAATTTTAACCAGATGTGTGGATGATGCAGCAACAGTACTTGGTAATTTTCCATATATTTGTATTTGGTAGTATGAGAGGAAGAAAAATATCTATTTAAAATAACAACATTCATAAATGCAAAAACCAGTGATGAGCAATTGCCTTTTTTTTCATTTTTATTTAAAAGTGCGTCTGTGCTCCAGACTACAGACTTAAAAGTAGTTATACTGGCTTAAGGCTACATTCACACCTAGGCATCTGCGCTTTTGTACGTGCTTTCGCCTTGCGTACTTTGTGTGTCACATTTTTACATATGAACACGCGTGTCTTGAATGGCAGATCAAAAACATTGCGGTCAATGGGGAAACGTGTGTAAAAACGTGCACAAACGCGGGAAAAAAATATGGGTCACACATTTTTCATGTTTTTCCATTGCAGTTTATGGGACCAAACACATGCAAAAACGCCCCAAAGAAGCCCAGGAACTTTTTTGAGCGGCAAGCAATTTGCAGCTTGCAACAATGGGGGTGTGAATGGGGCCTATAGCTGGCCATACAACCATAGATTATCTGCAGATTTTCTATGGTCAGATGGAAAAAGTGCAACAGATTCCTCCATCTACACTAAACTGTGGCCACTGTGCCAAGCTTCAGTATCTTGCTAGTCGGCCCCGCTGGCTCTCAAAATACCTGAACAATCTGATTGGACAAAGGCATTGTTTAGGTAGGAAGATACTGAAGCTTGACCCAGTGGGAGATTCCTCCATTCACACAGTGTAGCGTAGATGGAGGAATCTGTTGCACTTTTTCCATCTGACCATAGAAAATCTGCAGATAATCTATAGGTGTATGACCAGCTTTACAAGCAGTAAGAGAGCATTCAAACAAGTGATACCTTTAGCCGAGGAGTAAATTATTCTCTCACAACAGAGACCTGGACGTTGGGTTTCAGTCAATTTTATAACAGCTAATAAACACCTGATAAGCAGTGGCGACTCTAGGAACAATATGTAGGGGGGGCACATAAGATACAACAGTCAAATCTGGGGGGGCACTAATCATTTTCATTGCATACTCATAGAAAATAACAGAGAATTTAGTGCCTTTGTGACCACTTTTACTGCTTGTTTAGAATATATAAATACTAGTTTCCATAGTCCTGGCAAAGGTTCACTTTGATGGTTATTGCTTCTCATCACACATTTACTCCTATTATACCATTTATTACAATTACTATTCAAAGTTATTAAATTGTGAAGATGTTTGGGCATCCTCGGGACCAGTCAAATTTGAATTTTCATTAGTTCACTGTAGTAGAAACAATAACAGATGATTTCTCTGGATTGCTCCACTCTATACTTGATACTTAAAGAAAAACTCCACATTTTAGCCAAATGACATGCAAAATATTCGCAAACAGTATACACTATTTTAGAAATGTGTTTGCACCAGCTCACTTGTCAATATGCAAATGAGCACCCCTTTGCAGATCCAGCTACCAGAATAATGAGTTATTGGCATAGAAGTCATGGCTGGTTTCTGGGAAGATCAGGTAAGGGAGTTATTCAAGTTCAACTGCTTCTGAGTCTCTAGAGCAGGGGTGCCCACAATTTTTCGTCAGGAGATCCACTTATCAAATTACGAGCTCAATGAGATCTACCAACGAAAAAACACCTGCATTCAGGGACGGGAGGGGGCGTGGCGGTGCATTGAAGTCAATGGCACCGCAGTCACGCCTGCTGTGCGATCACCCGCACCCGCAATGCATGCACACCAGTGCCTGCGTTCTGGTCAAGTGTGATCTGCAAAAATGTTGCAGGGTTACCCACTAGGAATGCCCCCTTTAACTTGGATAAAGTTGTACACTAGACTAGAAATAATAATAAAAAACTCCACTTTAGTTATATCATCAGCACCAATCATACACTGCATTCCTTTCAAAATTTATAAAAACATCTACAAATGATTATTGTAGCTGTATACAGTATAGTAATGGGGAATTTAGAAATTTCTTGAGCTCTAGTAGTTCAGGTTTTGTATTTTGGACCAGCATTTGTGGACCAACTAAAGTTTTTGACAACTGACAACGTTTTTGTGGGCTTCCAATAGTCCTAAGGGACTAGAAACAGAGTGTACATTCTTGGTAAAGAAGTTAGTTATTTCTTTTCTAGAGTCTGCTTTAGATTTTTCAGTGCCAGGGCCTTTGTTAGTTGGTCCATCAATGGTGTGTATATCAGAATAGGAGAAAAATATGATCTACTGCAGAAAAGGAAATCAGTTAATATTGAATAGCTGGAGGTTTAGCAGAATGAAGAACTGAGAAAAGTGATTTTTTTTCAGAAGATAAAACATCCTTCCTCATTGTATGCCGAGTCTATAAATTGCTATGAGAATGATTTGCGGAATAAGTATACACACGCCTTGAGACATTGAGTCATTTTATAGTATGTAATGACTATGAGCTGTGGTCAGAGTGTTTATTGGGTCCTCTTGGTTAAACCCAATATGTGATTTTAACCTCTTAAAGCCCTTCTCCATTTCGTTCGACAAAAGTTGATTTTGCAATCAACGTTTATCAAATGAGTCGGTCCACAAAATTCTTGGCTGAACATTGGCTGCAGCCAATCTGTCATGGTACAGAATACATTTTATGTGTGCTTTATGTGATTTTAAATCGTTGTTCCTGGCATTCACAGCTTCAAAACCATGAAAAATGTAAAGCCAAGACTTTTCGTTTTAGTTTTGATAATAATGGTTAACCAGTTGACATCCGCGGTGTTAAACCCCCTTCCCATCCAGGCCATTTTTCAGTATTCAGCGCTGCGGTACTTTAACTGACATTTATTCCGTCATGCAGTATCTCCTTGTATTATTTTTCACAGCTCAGTCACCTAACTTTCACAGTATATGTTGCTATATATCCCATGCTTCTGTGTGCTATCGGAATTAAAATACAGACTTTGAGAGCTCACTTCTCTTCATTCCCGACCTCACTCTGCAAAGATAATGGACTGTTGATTGACAGCTCTTACATCGCTGTCTTTGCGTTTGCAGACACATGTGAGGTCAGGGATGCAGAGGGAGGGGGCACACTCTCACAAGAATCAGCACGGGCAATAGAACTGGAAGGAGAGCCTTGTTTTGTGTTGGGAAAGTACAGAGACCGTGAGATAAGAACTGTCAATAAAGAGGCCAACTCATTTGGAGACTGGTGAACGTGGTCAGGAATGAAGAGGAGTGAGCTGTCAAAGTCTGTATCTCAGTTTCTACTGCACACATAGGCATGGGATATAAAGAAACATATTTTGTTGGAGTTGGGTGACTGAGCTGTCAAAATAATACAAGGTAAGACTTCTTCAAGACGCCTGTCAAGAATTTTTCTAGTGTCTGTATCACAACAGGGAAAATTTCCCTTCAATTTCTGTCTCAAAAATACAGCAAGAAGTAAAGGGAGATCTCCTGAGCGTGGGGATATGCGGCCTTGAACATATTTTTTATGACATGCTATATAATTGAAAGAAGTTTGATACACACTATATGTCTGCAGGTAGCTTCAAATGCTAACCTTCCACACGAAAATAATTCAAGGCAGAGTGTGTGACCACATCTCTTCCACATACCATAGCCTTGTGCACAACATACCTGACTCTAAACAACTCTAACAAAAAGTTATTATGGATGTCTTATTTAGGAAAGCAGATCATTTGCATGTTGACATTTTCCAAGCTTCAAAGACAAAATGGTCAACAGAGAGGTGTTTTTGTTTAGAAAAAAGTTATTTTTTATACCTGCTTTACCTTTAGATATATTGGTTCTTCAGTGTACCTCTTTGTTTTCTAGGTGTGCTGGCTGGGCATGATCCACTAGACTCAACAACAATCCAAGAACCCTTTCAAACATTTACACTTCCAGATGTAATAGATGTAACCAATCTCTGTGTAGGGATTCCTAAGGTAATTGTCCAAATGTAATAAATATACAATCGAAGTCCATGACGACAGGTTGTAGTAGACAAAAAAAACAGATTTACTTACAATGAAACCTTGATAAAGTGACCGTAGACCAAAACTGTTGCTAAAAAACTCTTCTGTTCCCAACATCCTACAATGCTGTCATTGTGAATAATTTGTGTTTTTGACCTACGATCACTGGTCCTGTTGGACTTGTTTGTTGAGGCTTTCAGATGAACAATAATGAGTCTGTATTTTTGCTCTATTTTGAATTAACTGTCATTTGACAAGTAGGGGCATAACTGGAAACTATAGGGCCGCTTAACTCGCCCATAAACATTGATGTAATGGAGACTGGGGTCTAAAGCACCCAGTTTGTTTTCAGTGGCATCAGTTCAAATTTCAACTTTCCGGAATTTGCAATATAATAGGGTTTTCTTTGGTGCCTTAGGTTATCCACCTCTGCTGTTGCAGTTTGTGTGATGTATAAGATCGCTGAAACTGTTTAGGACTGAGGCACATATAAGGGCTATCCTGCTTGACTAAACATTCTTGACTGCTTTTAAAACTGGAATTGTGTGACTGATGATTCGCTGGAATATGAATGGGCTACTTTGTATTGTGAGCTGTAACTGCACATTTTATCAGTGACTTTTATTTTTTGTAATTGACTTCTTTAAAGGAATACCATGCCCCAGGCCTATCTACAGAAACTCTGTCGCTTTGGTCAAAAACTGCAGATTTGCTAGAAGATGCTGGAGCCAAAGTCGTTGAAGTTTCGCTGCCCAATACCCGCTACTCCATTGTATGTTATCATGTGCTGTGCACAGCTGAAGTAGCATCCAATATGGCTCGATTTGATGGACTGGAATATGGTAAAATGCCATATTTACAGGATTTGTTTGAAGATATTATCCCTGTATTTGTTTTCTTACCTTTTTGCTCGGTGTTTTCATCTTTTCCTGCACCTAAAGCTTCCATTTTATCACTGCTGTAGGTTGGTGAATTTTCTGATCAGTTTTCATTAGATTTTCAACTGTGCATTACACGTCATGTACTAACACCATCCATTACTTTTCACCCATGGGTTTATCAGCACAATAAAAAAAAAAAAAAGTAGTGGTATGTAGTGACTTGATTTTGTAGCTTAGCATGGCTATACCATTGTAAACCAATTTCTAACTGCCTCCTAATAAAATATTAGCCACTTGAGCAGCCAGTTATCTGGTTAAAAAATAGAGATACTCAGGAGGTTGTTTCTGCTCAGATTACACGCAACAAATTCATATGTGATCCTAATGTAACTCTTAAAATCTAACTTCACTTTTGTTCAGACCAAAGCTTTAATCGTTTGGTCAGTTATATACATGTCAAGGAGTTGAACAAAATTGCAAACCATACCTGCAACTGCGTCTGTTGAAAATTGAGACATGAAGCACACTCCTTTCGCGAGTAGGAAGGTCTTCCTGCTAATGACCCGCGCCAGGGTTATAATAAGGGACAATCTCCTGGGAAAAGCTGTCAGATGAGCAAGAAATGAAACTTTTTCCTGTTGATATCATTGTCATTGTTTCAAGGAGGCCATATACAGTTTTTTTTAGCAATTTAGCTTGACATAATTTCAAATGTAAGATCTATTTCAGTAGCACAAAGTTACAAGACTGTGAGTGTTGTACTCGCCTAAATATATCTATATCAGTCTTTTAACAAATGTGTAATGTAATTTTAAAAACTACAATGTGCTTTATAGCAGCTATAACCGTTATTTATTAAACTTTTGCTAAGACTTAGTATTTTGCTTGCTTTATAGGACATCGCTCAGATGTAGAAGACTCAACAGAAGCCATGTATTCTGCAACTAGACGGGAAGGCTTTAATGATGTTGTGAGAGGAAGAATATTGTCTGGGAATTTCTTCCTTCTGAAACAGTAGGTTAATAATTACACTACATGTACACATCATGAAAGACCAACACAACAGATATGAGGTTACTTATTTAAGCACTTTAGGGACTGGAGCAATTTATAACTTTCCACAATGGACCTATTTATTTGCTGATAACTCTGTCATTACTTAGGATAACAAAGTAATTAATTAGTTGTGTTTTGGGGACAAACTATGCTTTCTTTTGCCAATTGTCTTGTTTTTTTTTTATTTTCTATGTAATCTATAGACAAAAAGATTTTAAAAATTTGTATTTTTTTTCTATTTTTACCAGCGTTGGTTTAAAAAAAAAATTGCTATGCCTGAAAAGCTATAACTTTAATTTTGCCTTTTTCATTTATAGGGATTTTTTTTGCCCTTTTACAGAGTTCAGTTTCCTTATTCCTATGTATTAAACGCTCAGACAGGCTATACTGTGGCTGCCATGCTCCTAACACAGCTTTTGGATAGGTCATCTTCTCATATTTTTGGTCCTGGTCTCTTTTTATGCCAATTTTTTGTTAAAGTCTAAGGTTACCTTTAAAACATGTTTCATGTTACACCCATATTCAGGGTCACACTGCCAGCCCCCATCCCCCTGCCCCCAATTATCTAAATAATGAGGCCTGACAGTTGTAGGGGGGTTTATACAGGGGGCTGGTGTAATGTTTTTGTCAGAATGGAATAGTAGTCCAACCTGGTCACTGTTTTCTTTCCCAAAGAGAAAATGTGCCTCTTTTGGAGCCTGTAATTCCAAACATTTTGCATGGTATCTACCAGATCTATCATTCTTTTCCTTCCCCATAGGGACTTTTGGCTTTTGTGGTAGGTTAGAATGCATACGTACAGGTCCTTATCCTTCCTGTGCACTTTTCCGTCTCCCCCTGCACCCCAAGTGTTAACTCTAGTGCTTTATCATGGCATCCCCTTTGTGGGATACTTTGGTGACCTGCTGTGGAGGAAACTGGTGGCGTGAACTCTGTTGGACAATGTCACTGATTGTTCAGATGTCTAAACCATTTGGTTGCATCCTGAATCTTCAGAAAGCGGCACTGGAATCTTCTCATTGTCTGCAAGAAAATCTACGGTCTATCCAATCTCATATTCTTGTCCTTCACTCCGGGAGTTGCCCACTTCTCAGATCTTGCATGAGAGTCATGTGTCTGTGGGTAACCCTCTTCAAGGCAGCCCCTCTACTCGCTCCACACACTGCACTCTTGTCTTGTATGAGAAGTTCCCATGTGCCCTCCCCCGTCTGTCCCTTGTAAAACCATGAGATGAAACTTTGGTTTTCTGTTTTTAGAAATCAGCATTTGGATTCCTCTAAGGTTAGTGTCTGACCAGACAGCATTTCCATGCATGGAATCTCATTCCCTTTTGGGCCTGTAATGGGATCAGGTTAGTTGATGCTTGGGACCTCTTTTGACCTAGGAGAGTTTCTGATCTTTGCCTTAACCAGGACATCATTCTTTGGTTCCAGTTCTCTGAGAGGAGCGTTTCCTACTTCTTTTACTACAATTCAGGCTATGAGCCTTTATCTTTCAGTTACTGACTCCTTTTTGGTCATCCCAGATGGACCCTGTAGGGTGATTCGGTTTCTTGTTCCACTATTCTGGGTGGTTCAGGTAGACCAGCTTCCAAGCTCATGGTCTTAAGCTCAGTTTTCTCCTTTCCTTTTCAAGATATACTTCATTGGTTCTGTTAGTGTTTATTGATCTTCCAGCAACAAGCATCATTTTTCCAATGCAACGCTACCACCTGGTCTTTTATTTTCACATTGTTCCTACAAGGTGGGGGTTGTGGCCTCATGGGATGTCTGCTTTAGGCATACCGTCCTTCAGGCTACTCTTGAGCTGAAGGCAGTCCCAAGTTTTCCATTGTTTATGTTGGGCCTTTTAGGGATTGTTTTCTTTGTTGCCTACCTATTAGCTAGACTGCTTTTAGATGTCCCAAAGGTGAGAAACTTCATGTGTCCTTTAATGGAAGAGAAAGAAAATAGGGTGTTTTGTATTCACCATAAAATCCTTTTCTTGATCCACCCCCTGGTGTAATTATCAAGCTCTCAGTGCTGCTTTGCAACCAAACTGAAGCATGCTGGTAGCGGAGGTGTTATCCAGGACTGACTTACAATTGTTGGTTTGCCACCGTCCAATCAACAGTATAAACCCAAGGGGAAAGACCACATGTGTCCCTCATTGGACTCCCAAGAAAAAGATTTTACAGGGAGTACACAAATTCTATTTTACTGTACATATCGGAACAGCAAAGTTATTTGAAAATGGACAAATTTGCTTTTTTTTTTTGCATTCTAATTTAGTTTTTTCTAATGTTACAAAAAAAAATATAACTAATGAAAACATAAATAAAATCTTTAAACCTTATTGGTAAAAAAAATAGCGATAAACTATACACACATGACAGTTTATGGAGTGATACAGACCTGAGGTGTGCCATGGTCCGGGTGGACAGTAATGCCAAATAAGGGGGCATACTCTGTATGTAGAATAAATCTTGATGTATATGAACGAAAGGGAAGGGAGGGAGGGTTCAGTCGAGAACCGCACATCCCTACGCCCTTGGCCTGCCCTCTTTTATATGACGTAGGCGCGCGAATCCCTCCCACAAATGACGGCTAACAAGTTAGCCTACCAACTTGTGTGAGGCATTCACTTACCTGTGTAGCCTGAGATGTCATAACCTGAAACAACATACATACATATCTATACACACATGACAGTTTATGGAGTGATACAGACCTGAGGTGTGCCATGGTCCGGGTGGACAGTAATGCCAAATAAGGGGGCAAACACACTCTATTTCAAAATGCAATAATGTCTTTATTCGTAACTACCTTACATAGCAAGTTTTGCAAACGCATTGGCCATTTCCACGTGCGGATTCGGTATGTACCTGGTAAAACAGGACGAATTCCACCTACCCAGGTGTTTGATCACGTGAGCCGGGACACCATGCCTGGAGAATGCCCCGAATACAGTTTAGGATCTGCCCCTAACTGAATGATAAGCATGCGTACGTGACTAATAAATTGCTTCGCTGTCAGAGGAGTATTGGGGAAAGGCAACAACGGACTAGTCCCTGACAGACTGGACTGTCTGGACATGAGACTATCAAACACTGCCACTGGACACCAAGCGTTGCCGGAAGGAAACAACCTGATTTGCGTGGGGGCCCCCACTTGATTGGTCTTACAGCGGTCCAGAGATAGCATGTAGTAGTCGGGAAAGCGTACTAGATGTTTCTTGAGTATGGGGTATGACTTGTGGCTACTGTATGTGAATTCCCCTGGTCTCAGGAAGCCATAAAAAGCCAGATATATTGACGCCTTAAGAACCAGGCTCTGCCCGATACCAAACGGGGACCTATCTAACATGCCTGACATCGTCTGAAACATGTCGCTGGAGATGGGCAGTCTGGTGCGGTGCGGTAGGCAGCCGGATTTCTGAATCCCCTTTAAAATAGCCCGGACAGGATGTGCCAAAAAAAGGGATTGTTTATCCGGGTATATTAGGCCTAAAAAGTGTTGGACCCCTGCCAAGTATACTCGTATGGTGTTATGAGCCAGCTTGAGATCCGTGTGACAGAAAGCGATGAAAGCCAAAATATATGCTATGTTACTGGGATCGGAAGTAACATGCTTGGACCGGAACATGTTAAAAGCATTCCAAGCTACTTTATAGGCTTTGCCTGTATTGTTGGCAAGTGAATTGGTGATAAGCTTGACTGCGTCATGTTGATGTCTCTCTAATCCAGTACTAACAGATGGAAAGCCGGCACTGGCATGGGAACCACATCCGCGTCTGGTGTCAGTTGGAAAAAGGCCTGAAATTGTAATCTGGACAAAGCATCAGCAGCTACGTTATGCACCCCAGGTATATAATAGCAGAGGATGTTGAATTTATGCTGTAGAGACAGCCATATTAATCTACAGAGAAAGGACATGATCACCAAGTTCTTGGACCTACCCTTATTGATGATGTCCGCCGTGGCTAAATTGTCTGTATGGAATGTTACTGTTTGTCCCGCCCATGTCGGACCCCAGACTTTGGCTGCCGCTACAATGGGGTAGATTTCAAACAAGGATGAAGTCTGTAAAAAAGACGGTATGCTCCTTACCTCCACCGGCCAAAGGCTGGCGAACCAGTGATGGCCAAAAATGGCTGCAAAGCCTGAAGATGCAGCCGCATCCGTGACTACTTGGGGCGACCTATACGAGGCTTGGGGAATAAACAGGGAGATCCCGTTCCAATGTTGCAAGAACTCATCCCACATCACTAAATCGGCCCGTCCAGCCACATCTATATGAATTAATGACTCCTGTTCAGGAGCCGTAGGTAACAACGCTAAGAGCCTTGAGATAAATGCTCTGCCCTGAGGAATGATACGCATGGCGAAATTCAGCATACCTAGTACTGACTGTAACTGCTTCCTGGTGCAAATCGGAGATATGACTAACGCAAGTGACTATGGTCTGTAAAGCCACCTGTCCTGAGCTACCACTCGCCGCTGCTGGGGGAAATAATAACTTGAACAATTCGGCCTTCCTTGCGGAGGCTGAAAAGGGAATATTTTTTTTCCGCAGTTCAATGATAAGTTTAGGAATAGTCCATGCCCTGATGGACTGCTGCTCCCTTGCTCCGAACCTCTGGGTGGAGTTGATGGTAGAAACGCCATCTCCTCACTCTCTGACACATGAGACATGGCTGACGACATGTACTGTAAAACATAATCCCGACACGTAGAAATTACTGAAACCGAATAAAAACGAAAATCTTTTTAGGGCAAAATGAAATAACGTTGTTAACACTTGCGTCATGCCTTGCCGTGACCTAACTGCTGTGGGTCCTAAGGGTATTGTGGAATCACCAGTCTACCCGATTTTATGGATAAAACTAACGTCAGTGTGTAGATGACGAAGAGTATGACGTATGAGTGAGGTATGAGGAACTGCCTAGTAATTATGACTCTCATCACCTCCGAAAAATAGATTGTCAGAAAATATATATCCTTATGTCGGCACAATCCATACTGTATGCACTATGATGGGTTAGCATGAAAAACCCCGAAAGTTCACGAGAACCGAAATCATGCTCTAAGATTTGATAGGAGCGGGCCGTGTGCATGCCCTACCCCGTGTGCTTGCTCTACCGAAATGTCTTACTGGATAATGAAGTGTGCTGAACGTGTCCGTGTCATGCAACCCGACGTGCTGAGGTTGAAGCAACAATATATATATAGACGAGGCCGTACGCATGCTCTGCGCCGCTGACGCGAGCTGAAGCTGATATTTGCAGATGTACCATGGTGCTGCCCTCGTGGTGTCGTGTTGGCCCCATGGTGACTCCCTACTCCCCCTTGTCCCCCAAGTATGCGCCACGCACGTTTATGACGTGCGTCGCAGCGCCTACCCCCACCCCCTCTGGAGCCTTTGCTATCTACCTACTCGCAGTGCCTATACGCGACATGATGCATGCCGGCATCCCTGTCATTTGCCTGTGTCGCCGTATGCTTGCTAGTCCCCTGCTGTTGAGGAATTGTGAGCGTGCTTTCAATAGTTTGACTGACTGAAAAAAGTGACTCTGGAGTGACATGATATCTGCCGACTGCTCCAAAAATGCTAGCCCCGTTTATGTATGCATGGTTTCCCCAATGTATGTCAGTGCTGCAGCTGACGAGAAAGTGCAGGGTAGACATGTCGATTGTTTGTTATGCAGCACGAATGAACAGTGCCCCCCTATAGCCCCAACAAGTACCTGCTGCAGCCCACAAGCCTGTGTAGGATAATTCACTGCTCGTGATCTTGTGCCTGTAACGCTCCTCCGCTCCTACTGAGAGATGTGAAAATCAAAAGGCAGAAAACGGAGGGGGGTTTTGAAAATAGAAGAAGCGGTTTGCTGGAAGAACCGACAGCGCGAGCCCTCGGTACTTAATCCTACTGACGGCGCACCGGAAGTGACACGAGTCTAACCCGGAAGTGACGCAAACCTCGGCCGGATGCTAAAGAAGAAGGTCACTACGTGGTTCAGTCGAGAACCGCACGTCCCTACGCCGATGGCCTGCCCTCTTTTATATGACGTAGGCGCGCGAATCCCTCCCACAAATGACGGCTAACAAGTTAGCCTACCAACTTATTTATTTTCACTGTATGATTGCAGCCCGCTGGTGCCCTTTTCAACATGTTATGAAAGAAAGCTTATCTTATCTTATACTATTTCTCACAGACTCAATTTCTTTCTCTGTAGCTAGTTGTTTGACCCCAGTATAACACTTATACCGAGTTTGTTATAAATATTATAGAACATAATAAATTCCGGCTATATGAGGTTTAATGCTTAGTATCCAAATGTGCTCTTTCAGATGTGCTTGTTTGCTGCAGGGTTGAATTACCCCATAGCTTCTTGTACCTTTTGGAACCCCAGCTTCAAGATATTTCCCAAAACAATAGCCAGTTCTGACCAGCCAGCATAGAATAACACCATATGTAGTTTGTAATAGGAGCCCCATTCCTCGCACTTTGTAATATTAGATAAAGACTAGGTTACCATGGTAGGTCGGAGATCTTGCCACTGGCAGCTGTCATTCCCTGGCTGAAGCGATTCAAGCGCCATGTGCTTACAATACAATTATTAAGAAAATCTTTTTATAAAAGGTGGGAAAAAAGTCATTTTCAGTTTTGGCCTGACAAATTCTGCTGCAGGAGGTGCGTTGCAGTGCCATTCATTTCAATGGCACTTCAAACGTGCCACCGACCCACAGTGTGATCGCTTGCACTAGACCACAGAGTACCACAATGCCGTGCATTCCAGTGTAGTGAGATTGTGAAAAATTGTGCATGCAGTTTTATTCTGAAGTAAACTTTGTTTGTAACGCTGCATCTGTGTATTTTATTTTAAATTAAGGATGGTATTTAATTTTTTTTTATCCGATTAATCGCAAAAATGATCGATCAACTAATCAATTATGAAAATGATCATTTAGTTGGAGCCCTAGTCGGACAACCAGGGAACTTTGGACTGAGTTTTTCCAGCAGAGTCCTTAAGACGTATACTGTATGGCGGCAGTGGGTTATCGAACCACTTCTGTACAATAAAAATTGATCTTTCTGACTATGTGCAGCCTGTGAGTTGTTCCTGTGCCCTCACAAAGGAAAATCTGTGGTCATTTTCTGTCCAGTTGATAAACTTATTATCCAGCTTAGATATTTGCCTATGCTATCTATTCCATTTATAGTGCAAACATTCTGTGTATCACAGTCCAAACATCAGGTTTTTCAAAACCAAGAAGAATAAACTACAAAATTAGCAGATATGTATTTAAATGTATACATATATACTGACATACTTCAGGGGGATGAAGAAGAAAATCCACTTGTTAACAACAATTACAAAAACATACCTGAATGCTTTGCTGTTAATGGCTTTGTGCCTTTCTAATAAACCACTGAACCTTCTATTCCCTAATGATATTAACCAAAGATCTCACTTCCTGGAACAGCGAAGGAAGAATTAGTGAGGGCACTAGGTAATTATCAGATGTATTTCCTGTGGGAACAAATAAAGCAGGTCTCCAATGTATGAAGTCACCATTGTTACATAATGTTATTAATCTAAAATTAGACTGCTCATTGAATTTTGTAATAATGATAAGCAGTATCAAGTTCCATACTTTCATTGAAGTGTTTTAGTATATTCCTTATTATATCATAAAATTTACATTGGTCAGTTTCTGTTGTTGTTGTTTCCGCCAGCACTTGGTTAACAGACTGCTCAAATACAGATTATCTGAGCTTCTACACTGTTGTGTGTGTGTATGTGTGTCCTTCTACATGATCTTTGGAAATAGCTGGATGGTATGCCGTGTCTGTATCTGTCCCACCAACTGACAGCTATGACATGCTGAGGAGGATGGCTGGCTCCTAATTGTTCGAAATCTTCCACAATTTATTGATTGTTTCAGTCATTGGGGCTGCAAAATTATTTTTATTCAGAAAATCTTGTTTTCTGATTTTTGGTTAGGGTTCTGTGATGTGGTCACTTTGGATGCCAATTGTATTTCTTTGACTTGTCTGTTTCTTTTCAGAAACTATGAAAAGTATTTTCTGAAGGCTCAGAAAGTGCGACGTCTAATAGCAGATGACTTTGGAAAGGTTTTTCAAACTGGTGTGGATGTCTTACTTACCCCAACTACATTAGGGGATGCCGCTCCTTACCTGGACTTCGTCCAGGAGGACAACAGAACTCGAAGTGCACAGGAAGATGTCTTCACACAATGTGCGAACATGGCTGGTGAGTTGTATTTACAAGTACCATAGAAAGAATGCTCTTTGGCGCTTGCCTTATTAACTAAATGATTAACAAACAGGAACATTTAAACATGGTTTCTGAATATGCTTAAGGTGTATTTTTCCACACAAATACATATTTAAAAGTCAGTGCATGTAAGAAGTGTGGTTCAGTACTTTCCTACAAATTTCTGGCTACCATTTTCTAAGATAATCTAATGACCTATTGTATGCCTGGAATGCACTAAGATTGTTGGAGGATTCTGCCAAATTTGATTCTGTTATGCTGTGCTCTTTGTCCAATTCCTGGGTGCTCTCTATCCAAAAGGTGCGCTGTTATTGGCTTGTGGACAGCAGGGAGAGATGGGGAAGAAGTTTCAGGTTGGAGAGGTTGAGGCCATTATTCAGTGTGTGCTTAGAGTCAGTGGGGCTCCAAAGCAACATTTTATAGCATAAGAAAGCTACTTGCAGATACCTTTTTCAGTGCCAATTTTAAGATTATACAACAGAAGCATATTTGTTTTATCCAAAATGATTGTAATACACACTTTTATGATGTATAATGTTTTTGTTGTTTGTTCCTTTCTCAAGGTATTCCTGCTATAACCGTTCCAGCAGGCCATTCCAGTAGAGGACTACCACTGGGTCTCCAATTCATAGGGCAAGCTTTTCGTGAACAGCAGCTTCTAAGTGTTGCCAAATGGTTTGAGAAGCAGATGGACTTCTGTCCCTTAGAGTTTTATAGCCATTTAGAAAATGGGAAAATTCTTCAGAGACAAATTACATTGGCTTCTTCATTGTAGGCCATGCAGTGAAACTTTGGAAGTATAATAATGTGAATATTTAGCAAGAGGCTAGCAATACTTTCTATGTATTTTATGTGTAAATAAAAAAGGGAACCAGTAAGTATTTGTATTGTAACTGTTATTGGCACATGTACCTATCTCACATTATAACGTGGCAGTTTTCTATAGCGAGACGCATTCATGTTCTTAAAAAGACACTGTCATTAAACCATAGTTAGCAGGCTTATTTATATTTTTTTTCCTGGAATTGTTAAATGTTCTGAAAGCCTGCAGCTTCTTCCTCTTGGCTCTGACATTAGCAGCTTTCCCAGCCACTACAGAGAATCTTGTACTATCCTAATCATAGCCATCAGCCTGTAATCGGAAGTCCCCGCACGCACACAGTGACATCTCAGCAGCTGACTGTGTGTATGTGCAGGATCTCGGGCGAGCAGCACTAGAGGGACATCTCTGCTGCTGCATTCTCCAACAGCTTGTAGCCTCTACTGGTATTGTTACACGTCTGGGATCCCTGAGAGGCCTAAGGACTATCAAACCTTTCAGGTACACTTGTTACTTGAAGGTGGTCTTAAGGAGAATGGAAAACTTCTGATAAACAATTCACCCCTCCCAAACATTTTAGAGACAAATATCCTTTTAAGGAGGCCTTTATCAAGAAGTGGGCCGTTACTACTGTGGATCCAGTGATATTCTGCCTTAATAAAACACTGACTATACCTGTTGAGGATGCACTATTGTTTAAGGATTTAATTGACAAATGTGTGAAAACCCTTTCCAATTCATTGTTTTCTCTAGCAGGCCCTACTTTGCAACCTGCTATAGCTGTGATGTCTGTCAAACCTAAGGGAAATTAACTAAACTTATGTCAAGCTACTATTCTTACTGACCCTATGTTTAAATAGTGCTTCGAGATTATCCATTAACCTTACACTATTGTGTAGATAGGTTAGTCAACATTATCCGTCTTATTTCCTGAATGCATCTCCTGTTTTTAAATATGAAAAGATCTCTAAGACTGAAATGTTGGTCTGCAGAACAGCAGTGTAAAAAAACATTTGCTTCATATGCCTTTTGATATTGAAGGCCTCTTTGTTGCTTCTTTGGACACCCTCATAAAGGATACCACTAGGGGTAAAAGTACTTGTTTGCCCCAGCAGAAGAAGCCTAAGTGGGAAGACTCTTCCAGCCCCCTCTAAGGCCTTCCTTTAATTACTCCCAGACTTCAAGCTTCAAGGCCAGACCAAAGCCAAGGGCCAGGTTAAGCCGCACACCATGAACCCCTAAATTTCCCAAACCTACAGACGATTACTCTTAGGTACTGCAGGGGCTGGGTAGGATTTCTAGACACCTTGGGGCTGCAGGAGACTTGGTCGCCAGAGGAATCTCGTCTCCCAATCAACATTCTTGATACACATATTCCAGCCATGTCTGCCTTTCACATGCCAGACATAGAAAATCGACAGGCAGACTTCAGCCAGCAACAACTGTAATTAGGGGAGTCGTCCTACATGTCACAAGTGGGGGATGCCGGATGTGGACCTCCTGGCCTCCAGGTATAACAACAAATGGACAGGTTTGTCTATAAGATCCTCTGGTGGAAGCAGTGGATGCTTTGGTGACTCCATTGGATCAGTACAGTACCTTTTAAGGGATGGTTTTATTAACTATTGCATGTAAAAGAAAACTTTTTTTCTGTACAATCTTCTATATTTAAGATGTAACTATGACCCTCTGAACACACATTCTATATTATGAAAATTAAAGAACTAAAAAACAAACAATCTAGGAACTTTAACTCCTGCAAGGTCTATCGCACATGCAAGGCTTACTTTGCCTGGTGCTAGGAAAGATTTCACCCCAGAAATACTCTATGGGAAGAATCTTAACCTTTCTACAAGCAGGCCTGGATCTGCATTTGAGACTATTGTATGGGGTACACACTGTATAATCAGATAAAACGTATGAGCAGCAGTGTAGCATGCCATCCTAAGCAGACATAACAAGGAGAGCGATCATCATAAACAGCTGTTGACCACATCCTCTTTATATGTGAGGAAATCATATCATATTCTGCTACACAGGCAATGTATACTACAGACTGCTAAGTAACAAAGACTAGTCTGTATCGGGAAAAATGTCAAATTATTCCAATTAGTCATTCTATAATTGTACTCATTTGAAATTGTTTCATATATTTGTTTACATAATTTACTCTAAGACTACGAGGGTAATCTATAAGATTGCTCCTGTGTGATAGCGATAGAGTTAAGTGAAAAAAAAATTGTTAAATAAATAACATTTTAAAAAATTGATCAGCAGCGGCGATAGCTGTGTCAGTTCTCTCTCCTCCTCGGTCAATGCCGCTACAGAGCCGTCCTCCTCCCCCTGACACCCCCCCTTCACTTACCTCTCTCCTCGCTGCTCCGGGATCCGGGCTTTCCGTCCTCTGGCCGGTCGCTGAGTCTGTCTCCTCACCGGCCGCGGATGCAGGAAGCAGAGCGACAGGGTTAACCCTGCCGCTCCGTGATAACCAGTGAGAGGGGAGAGCCATCTTCCCCCCCTCACCTGTCACAGAAGTTCTAGCACAGTGCTGTGCTAGAACTCCTGTATTGGAGGTGACAGGTTCAATAAAGAGAATCTGTCACCTCCAAATGCTATCACACAGGGGATTGGTAGCTCCTGTGTGATAGCGATAGAGTTAAGTGAAAAAAAATTGTTAAATAAAAAGTTAAAAAATTATTACATTTAAATAAAAAGGTGATTAAAAAGTTAAAAAAATGTCACGGCCCACTTGCCATGATAACCAGTTGATTGGCAGGCTCCTTCCCTACAGGGACCCGGGCTCCACTAGAAGGAGGACAGGAGCCTGCCAATCACCTTGTTACTATTCCCTGGGTCATATTTGGCGGGCGTACAGGGACAATGAGGGCATGCTGGAACTTGTAGTTCAATTACGATATGTCCCAGCATGCTCTCATTGTACATGTATACCCCCACATATCACGGGGGGATAGGGGGGGGGTTTGTCCTGCCCCGGGGCGCCGGTTACTCTGGTTACGCCACTGGGTCTCTGTACTGTGCATCACACCACAGGTCTCTGTACTGTGCATCACACTGCAGGTCTCTGTACTGTGCATCACACCGCAGGTCTCTGTACTGTGCATCACACCGCAGGTCTCTGTACTGTGCATCACACCGCAGGTCTCTGTACTGTGCATCACACCGCAGATCTCTGTACTGTGCATCACACCGCAGATCTCTGTACTGTGTATCACACCGCAGGTCTCTACTGTGCATCACACCGCTGACCTGACGGGAGTTAAGGCCGGGGCAGGGTAGGGGTTAGTGGGACAACTTGTGGCGAGTAACTATTAATGCCTGGCTAGTAACTTAGTACTTGAAATTTTGAGCCCTGCCCTATGTGATAGCCAAATTACATGACAGGTCCTCTTTATGGAGACATCAGGGGTCTCCAAGACCCCTAATGTCACCTAGGGACCCCCAGAGATGCTGATGAAGCAAATATCTGCTTCATCAGCTTCTGTAGCTGGAAAGTGACACTGAATGCAGAAAGTGATGTAGTATACATTACTTTCTGCATTCGGGGACCGGAGAGGAGATCAGAGGAAGATCGTGTACCGATCTCCCTTTTGATCTGTCACAGAGCAGCCGTGCCGGTCATGGCCGCATCGGGCACCGCCGAACTTGGGACCGGCACAGCAGTGACAGCTGCTCCTATACAAGCGATCAGGCGTCTCTAGAGACGCCCAATCGCTTGAATGTAAAGCTCCTGGCCGGCCGTGTAATTACAACGGCCTGCAGGTAAGCTACTCGTCCGGCCCTGCCGTCCTCTCGTCACAGACGAGAGGACAAGTGGATTTTTCAAGCCCGGTATATATGGCCGAAGCTATGGCTGGATCCTTCGGCTCCTTCAAGTGACATTAAAGGCAAAACATTTTTTCCCTCCCCCAATGATAATTAAAGCACTTTCCTAAATGATGTCTCTTAATTCTTTCCTGTCGTTTTGAGCCTTGTCTCCAGCGCTGCTGCGGGTCTCCGATCCAGCGCTGACTCCTCTGTCCTTGCTGGCACTTCCCGTCCCACTGTGTCTGCATGCGGGTGCACGCGTCCATAGACTTACCTTGCATCTTTGCGGCCGCCCGAGAATTTTCAGATTTTCGGGCAGGAACGCGCGGCGAAGATACAGGTAAGTTTAAACCGCTTTTTTTTACTTTTTGCATATATCTACTGCTTGCTAGCAGTAGATATATGCAAAACAACGTGAGGGTTTAGTAACCCTTTAATGAATAACCCCCTGATTGTGGTAACGTTACGTTTACCCAGAAAATTATATTGGGCTGCTAGCAAAGGGTCCCAATTTGTGTAAGCATGTCCTTTTTCAAGATTGTTGTTAGAGCTTACCAGCTTCCAAAGGGTTTGGACACAGAATTATGACTTGGTTCAAACAAATAGGATAAATACAAGTTAGGGAAAATAGACTGTGCACTTTGCATTTCCATGTGAATGTTTGAGCACTGGTTTCATTAAGAGTGTTTTTTAGAGATGCATAAACACAAATGTTTAGTAGAGCTGATAATACGGTAGTCATGTGAAATGTGTTCAGTTTAAAAGTGCAATATACTCCCCTACTGAGCATTCCAGTTTGACAGTGAGATAACACATGACCCTTAAGATTGATATCTGATTTTTGCTGGTTACTTATTTGCTATAATTAAGGGTTTGCCTTGCATGTGTTGAAAATCTGACCTGCACAAGTTTAGATGATCACCCAGTTGCAGATGTACATTAGATACCAAGACAGCAAGGCCATTCCATCTTTTATCATCCTGTGTTCCCCCAAACATAGAAGGGGTAGTATGCTACTATTGCCTTAAAATATCCTGACACTATACCCACCGAGATGTTTCAAGTTACTTCATAAAAAGAAAACTCTACTTTGCTTAAAAGTGATATAAAATATTTTAGTGCTACACAAATAATTTTGTAATTTAAAAGAAACCTGTACTGAGAGTATAATGGAGACTGCCATTCAGTGGCGTTACAAGGGGGGTGCGGCCTGCCTGGGTGACACCGTCGG